CCCCCCCCGCACGGCCCTGCTCAACGGAAGCTCTCACAGTCCAGTAGACCGGGCCTTGCAACACCACACACACCGGGGCAACCCAAGGAATCCCAAACTATCTCTGGAATCCACGAACAAACTCAGTGAGATTTTCAATGATTTAGAACAGCCAGGGAAATCAGGGAACAGGCTAGAAGATCAGGGAAATTTTATAATAAGCTTTAAGCCTTGGGAGTTTTTGAAACATCTGTAAAATTAGTGATTATAAAAAACATTAGTAGAGCGTTACTTTTCTCACAATATTACTAAGCTAATATTGTTCATTTTGTCTTCTTCACGGTGAAATCAGTTAGATGGAAGATTTGTACCCAAGCCTCACTTTTATTTGATATTTTCCTCAAGTAATGTGATATAGTCTACAAAATGTACTATGGAAGAATAAAAAGTGCATGGAAAAGTGCGTAAAAAATGGGAAAGGGCTGCGAAAGGCCACTCTGGTGTCAATCAAGGCGAGTTTTCAGCTAGTCTTTCCGGAGTGCTCCAATGTTCTCTACCTCTCAATCCACCAGAGAGCTGTATTCATATTCATCATCACTCATTCATTATACTATATTCGTTCATCATAATTTCCGTCGATATAAATCCAAAGACTCAGGTTTTGGGATACATAGGTCTAAAATAGTGAGAACTCCGGTTTCCCGGAAACCAATATGGGTCCCTTGAAAATGACCCCTATGGGGTCCCTTAAAAATAAATTTATTAAAATAAAGTCATTTGATCTTTAAAAGAAATGTGCTGCTTGCCCATTAATATATAATTAACTGTTATAATAAATTCATATTTTTGTGTTTAAACTGATACAATTAATCAAGTGATTTTGACGTAATTAGTCATAAAAATGGGTTTTCTCCCTACTGGTGCAAATTTTAATTTGGATCTATTTACTGTCATTTCTTTCTAAATTGCGATAAAGAAATAGAAAAATTCCACTTTAGATAACTAATCTCTCACATCACAAACTAGTTAACTCCTCACAAATAACATGGCACATACTTCAACATTATTGTTGTATTAATATGCCTTTAATATTTGTAAGCAATAACAAACTGCAGCCACCATACATACAATGGCACGCCTAATTCTGATATCTGATACGTAGTTTCCACCTAAGTGTTTCACCTCTTTCAAATGCCGTTCATTTCTATAATTGGATCTCATTACTTCCAATTTCTTCGACATTAGACACGCTGTGTAGTAATATACGAGTACGTTCATTTCTCATTTAATTTATGAGTCAAGTGTGATTCATTATCAACTAGAAACTACAATTTATATCTAAAATTTTCTTTTGGGAACAATTGGCCCACGTCTTGCAGGAGTGGTATAATGACCAATATTTAGGTAACTTTGAACTTTCTTTTGAATAAAACCATATACGACAAAGATATATATTCAAAAGAATAGAAACAATTGACGAAAACGTGGTAGTGAGGTCGAGAAATGTCATAGGGAATTATTTCCGAATATTTCGTAACAAGTCCTTACGAACTCTTAGATTAGAATCTTAGACGTTTGAACCTTTTAATGTTTATTTAACGACAAAAGATGATCAAAGAGTTTTTTTCATAAAAGAAATACAAATATCTAGTTTTGGAATGCCGGTGTGTGGTAAAATCCCTTGGAAATTCGAAGAAATTAATTTTTCATAGCCTTTCAATAATAATTACAAAAAACTCAAGTAAGTTTCAATTAGTGTTGGATACAATTACCAGAAAAGGCATAACCTTATATTAATTAAACATGCGTTCATCATCGAATTCCTTTTTCAAGAGTGCTGCCTCAATTGAACACTTTTTTCTTGGCGTTAGCTTTTGTAAAATGGAAGAGCGATTAATAGATATTTGTTCAAAATATTTGATAATTAAATTAATAATAATGGTTTTTAAAGAGTACAAAAGGAATATTTATCACATTAATAAACAAAATACAATAATTTGATCCATTTATGAAATAAGATTTGAATATCAATGTATTTTTCAATAAACTCTAGCAATGTCAATTTCAATCATATTACATTATTTGGAGATAAAGGACTGAACACTCCATGTGACTCACCTTGTCACTCTTTTATGTCTACTTTGTTTTTGAAAGCATTGAATACAGTTCAACACATTGTGTAAAATGTCACATTCATCTTACCACACAATTTTGTAATGAACGGTCTACTGGATCTTTACCCCTGTGACTTTCGTTGAGAGTGTAACAAGAAATGAACACCATGGACAGTTCTCCACGATTGCAAGTTATTTCTTAAACTTCTCCCCTGTAATTACGTCATTCTTGATTTTTAATAGATTGGATTAGATTATGCAGTTATAAATTCAACCTTCTTTAGTAGTCAAGAATGTAATAGTAACAGTTGTCTGTATTGTTTGTATTTCAACTATGATCTTTTGACATAATGGCATTGCTTTATATTTCACAAAGTTAGTTTTGAAAAAGTTAAAATCAATTTTATGATTTCAGAAATTGATACACAGAAGAAATAGTTTCATTCCCAAATACTGAAGTTTAATAATCTTTTGAAAATACTCATTTTAATAATATACGTATTAGGTTCGTGAACAATTTTTGTTAAGAGTTAATTATTTAATAGACATTAAGATTTACAATATTTCAAACAATATGTAAATTGTATGCAAGGTAATATACAAGTCGAAAAATGGCATAACTACGGGGGAAAGTTTACAGATTTCACTCGCATTGTGTGAAGAGAGGATATAACTGCAGCAGGGAGTCTTTAAGTCGTCCGATAGGTCATTTTATTATATTTTGCTTACTTGCGATGACATAATTCCCACCCTTATTCTGAATTTCCAAATCATGAGATGTCTGATTTTTTTTAAATATGGCAATGCGTATTCTTCTTTCCAGAATATCAGACGTGCAAACTCAGTAAGATGTGCATATTTAGACGGGTCATAAATGATAACCTGTTTCCATCTGCTCGATAAAACATGTTTAAATAATAATGAAAGGCGAACATGTTTGTTCGCGTCTTTCCTAAAGACATTAATTTTGTACAATTTATACTGGGTCTATTTTTTTACCGTTTGGTCGCGTTGTATTCGCGTATTTCTACAATTTTCTACGAGTTTTTAACTTTGGAAACTCCAGCTGTGGCGCCGAGCGCGTGCAGCAATGATTCCTCTCTCTCTGCTTTTCTTACCTGCACGCTTGGCTCTGCACAGGTGCTTCAGAACACCCTTCGCCCTACCAAAGGATACACGAAATGCGAGAAAGTGTTAGGCTGTTTTCGAATTCATAATTGCAGGCCTAGAAAATGTACAATGAATATTTATTTTGCGGTGAGTATGAGGAACATCCAGATCACCATGAAGCGGGTAGCCCTGAACGCTAATATTGAAAGTGCGTTCGTTTTCAGCTTCTCGCTGTGGGTAAGTGAGAAGAAGGACGTTTTTACAATCAGCAGCTTAAATGTATTCTTGTGTAAAGTCCGAGTGTGTACATAAAAAAAAACTATTGTCACAGTACGAAAATGATACCTATCTGTTGTTATGAAGTACAAATTTATGCGCTGTTGAATAATGCAGCTATTTGTATTTAATAGTTGTTGGTACTCAAGGGTTCGACTACTGTATGTTCCATTAAAAAAATATGTTGACTAATGCGAATTGAATCAATGATGCTGGGATATTCTCACTCTTTTGAATATCACGAAATCCTTAAATGTGTAAACTACGAAACACGATAAATTGATTTATTCATGTTATTCGTATTGTTTTCTGTTTTTGAAAGATGTGTTAGAAAGTCATAATAATACGCAACCCACACAAATAATTTTTGTCGAAATACGTGTCAACAAAATGGGTTAGAATAATAACCATTACCTTTATTATTCGAGGGTATGTTGATGCCAAAGGCTTAATTTGTTGGCGCGTGTGGGTTTGAAAAGGTACCTGATTTTTATAGTGCGTAATTAATCTTGAGTATGAATGTACCAGGTATGTATGAGATGAGCATGCGTTTCCTTTAATCGTTTTACATCTTCCCTGCACGTATAATGTCAAACATGAAGCTAACATCACAACACAACCACGAAAAGAATCTCATCCGTCACAAGACACGGACAAAAATAAAACGCACGATTTATAACCGTAGACCATCCGCATGGTAGAAGCCTAGTTTTCTCTTTTGGCATGAGGAATGGACGAATCTCGACCTGTGTTTCGTTTGCCGATCGACTGCTCTTTTCTGCGCCAGTCAGTCGCTTGTGGTCTCCCGGGTCCACTCTCTTCCAGGAAAGAACGCTAGTTGGTTGTGTGGTGGGTTGTGGCGGAGGCAGACAGGAGGTGGTGAGGGCGAAAGGACTACGGCAAGCCCGACGCAAGCACTCCACACGCCCGCAGGCGCCCGCAGGCACGCACGCACGCGCACACTCCCGATCCACACACTGCGGAGCGGCGGGTAGCCCCTTCGCATCGCCGCCGCCGCCGCCGCCGCCGCCGCCTCGACCTCCCGACTCCCACGAGGCCTCCGCACAGTCCACACTGCGCTCCTACGCTCTTCTGTCTTTCATTTGGTTTCATTTATTTTGTCAAGGAACGGTAAAAATTGATCCATCTTCAGACTCTTTAATATTTTTTTCGATTTTTTGTCCAATTTTATTTCAGACATTCATATATGTGTTGAAAATAAATTTAAAAAAAAACTTAAATTGAAATTTTATTGAAAACATCTGTTGATTTTTGAAACATTTTTCATCTCTCAACGTTTCAAGAAGCCCTTTTCCTATTCTTCAGGAGACTGTTCCACATGAAGACTGAGTCAATCCTTGGGTGGAAAACATATGCAACGGACATCAGAGGAAGAGGAAAAGTGCTTCTCAAAACGTTGAGAGATGAAAATGTTTCAAATATCAACAGATCATTTTAATAAAATTTCAATTTAACTGTGTTTCTTTTTGGTTTTTAATATGTATATAGATATCTAAAATAAAATTTGGACAAAAAAATCTCACGGAAAAAAATTGTATGCTATATATGTGGGAAAAGGACAGTCTGCACTTTTTTTTGAGCTCCAGAAAATATTCTCCACCTTGTAATCATAAATAGTTGAATTATTAATATAAGTACCAACAAAGAGAGGTTAGCATGATTGGAAAACTAGACGTTTTCGCTCCCGAGTTATAAAAAACTCATTTACTTGTGTAAACAAACTACAGATTTGATTTTGTTATACTGATAACAAAATAATAATCAATGTTATGGTTGTAACACAAATTTTAATGTCATTGCTGATACACAAATGTTTGTAACCACTGTAAATTCACAACCATGTCAGTAAATTATGGATGTTTCGGATCATTGGTTTTGGTCACAGTACAAATTAAAACATTAACCCTTTTCAATCTTCAGACGTTTTGGAATATTTTAATTACGTCTTCAGTGCTAATAATATAACAAGATTAACAACACTTAATATGTAAGTTTAATACACAACGCATAAACCTAATTATACACTTTTGCAAACATTATCATAATTCAGCTTTCTGTGTATAATTATGTTTGTGTTTTGGGTCTTAAGGCTTATATAATTAAGTGTTGTTGTTCTTGTTATGTTATTAGTCCTGAAGATGGAATTAAAATATTGTGACGGAGAATTGAAATGAGTTAATGTTTTAATTTTTCCCTTGTGACAAATCCCATGATCCGGATCATCTACAAAAGTTAGTAGCAAAAATGTGCCACTTTATGCAGTGCTAAGTAAGTAATGTGAATGTGATGTATCCTGATATAAGCTTCAACTATTTGTCTGAACTGGTACCCTCAAGAGGTATAGAGTTTTGCCTACAACATGCCTCTTCAATTTTGAATATATTTTATAAGTAGAAATTTAATAATTCTGTTACGAAGAATATACAAGTAGCTATTAATAATATTAGTAAAATATTAATTGCATGAATGTGTTTCAACTCCCACATGCTATATTTCCTTAAAAGCAATGGAATGTCAAAAAAGCTCTGCAAGACTTCGATAGCCATTCAATGTAGCTATCAAAAAATGTGCAAGGTTGTTTACATACACAGGGTATTGTTAATTAAAAATCCACGTCTTAGTGCTTTTCGTTATCTACTTGTAAACGCGTTCAGTGTCAAAACACTTGTAATTTTGAAAACACAAGATAAAGGATGTTAAAGACAGTTGAACGCATAAACAAGGTTCCCTGCGGGTTGTTACCATGGCAACGCCCAGCAAGAGTTACAACCGCGAACTGTCGGCGGCAAAGTGCCTTTCGCAGCTCTGTGCACTTGACAGTACAGTAAACAAACTCGGCGGCGGTGGCCGGGGGTGGGAACAGCGTTCTAGCGACAGCACTTCCTAACAAATTAACGGCGCGCCGCTCGAGGGGGCGAGCTTCCCCGCAAGTGCCGTAACTCTTAAAGTGACGCGCGAAAAAGGTCGTGGTGAGAGAAAACAATCAAAACTTCGGTGCCAATTTTGCCTATTCATGTACTAGGCGCTTTTTGTTCAGGTGACGACGCAATAACTGCGTGAAAGTTATTTATTGCCTAGGATATTATTTCATTAAACTGATCGCAGAGTATTGGAAGACTGCATTCATCAATTATAAAATAATGTGACATATTTTAGTGAGATTTATTTAGATAATCTGTGAAGGTTTTGTAACAGAATTCATTATTAATTAATGACATGCAATAGAAAAATAATGAAGTGGGCACATGTATAACACTCTTCCTAGCTGTAGAATTAACACTACATATTAAGAAAAACTTTGTCAGTTAAAATATTACTTGAAATCTTGTAAATGACTGTTTTTTACAATTGTTTACATTACATTAGTAATGCAATGGCAAAATGACAAGAAATAATACGCAAAAATATTTTTTCTTTATGATAGGAGTGATCAAGATGGTTAATGAAACGCCTAAAAACTTCGCCTATATTCAAGCAGATAGTTCTCTAGTTGTTACTTAATAGTAAACACAAAGAAATGTTTGAAATATTTTGTGTAGCTTTGTATTAGTCCAGTTTTTAGTTAGAATACTGGAATATTGACAACCAATTACTTTGTACCTATTTTTTCTACTTTCCAGAGCGCAAATGCCATATATGAACCAAACGCACTCTGTACGAAATGCGAGGTGTGAACTGTGCAGCGCCTTGTCGCGTCCACGGAGGCTTCTCCCGTTCCCGTTGTGTCCCCACTTTCCTCCACAGCGTCCGCACGACGGCTGTCGCCCTGACACGGCGGCGCCTTGCTTCTGCTTGCAGATCAAGCGCCAGATCTTACGGTAGCGGGTCGCGTGGGTCCACGGGCCCCGCGGCCGCCGCCCCGCGCCGCTCCCCGCCTGCGCTCCCCGCTTCACCCCTCACCCCACGGAAGAAACGATATCAATAAAACTTGAATAAACAATGCTTGTCTTTACCACTGGGACTTTCTTTCTGTCTTATTACTCTTTTTTTCTCTCCACTTTCTATCTCTCTCTCTCTCTCTCTCTCTCACACACACATGTCTCACTTTCTCTCTCACTCACTTGCTTGTTTGTCGCTTCGCGCGGGCCCGCGGGGTCCGGGCCCGTCCCTCCCGCCGCTCTCGCCTCCCTGCCGCCGCCGCCGCCCCCGCCCGCCGGGGCGGAGAGGGGCGGGTGGGGCGGAAGGGGCGGGGCGCGGGCGGGCGCGCGTGCCTGAGCGCGACCTCTTCTGTTGTTGCCATCCCGCCGCCGCGCCGCCGTCCGGCTGCAGACGCGAGCACGCGCTCCGTGTACCTCTCTCGCACAGTGTCGAAATAGCCAAGGACTTGGGACCTGGCACCCTGACCCGGTGCGTCACCGCTCTCTCTGTCTCTCTCTCGCACCGCACGCGCGCGTCCCCGAGCCGTGTGCCGTGCTGCTCTCTCCCTCCTGCCCTCCCTCCCTCGCTCCTTCTCACTGTCAGTTGTGTAGCTAGCGTGGGATGATGAGGAGGGCGGGGCGGCAATTCTTTAGGAGTGTCACCAAGAATGAAAAAAAAAATCTAAGAGCTAATTTCCCTATCAGTCACATTTTCTACATCTCGTCCGATTACCGTACCACAAGACCATGACACGTTCTGATCGACAAAATTCTAGTACACCACTGCTCAGTGACACCTTTCCTGAACACTATTCTCTGAAATCAATGCACTATCGTTCTCAGGAATAAAGAAAGCCCTTAGCACCTCAGAGACGGCACTGTTTGCGGGATCCTACCCGAATTCCTACAATTCTCCTAACTTCAGTAACCCTGAGTTCATTGATACGGTTACAAAATAAACTGAAAAAAACCCAGCAGCAGCACGACACTGTGCTCTAGCCCCGCCCCTCCCCTCAAAGTTATGTGTGAAATCTTACGGTCATACTACTATTTTAAAGAGGGAAAATGTGTTCTTTATACTAAAACTTTAAATCTCTTCCCCACTATTCGTGACCTCTGACAGTATTCGTTTCAAACAGTTTTCTGGAAAAGAAGAAAAAAAATAAAGTCAATGTTAAACTGAATGGTTTGCTGGTAAGAATTTGACGCAGTCATACGTAATGATGTCACAAATTGAAGTTCCGAGGTGACGTAAGGTAGGAGGCACGGCGCGCCACTAAGGCCAAACAAACGCCCTTCGTAGGCGGCAATGGTACTCGCATTCGGTCACCGCCGCCGCTGAAACGACGAATCTCCAGCCGCGGCGGAACTGTCAGGGGTCCGCGAGTGCAAAGCACCTCGCCATGGTAAGTGCCGAGGCGCGTTGCTCAGACGTTTCCTCTCTCCCTCGCTGGGGAACGTTTGGAACGCTCGCCAAATAAACTGCAATTACTCTCCAGCGCGGAAAGCGAATTAAACTTAATTAAGCCCACATTAATAAACCCTCATTAAAGCGAACGGCCTCGCCTGCCCTGCGCGCGCTCGCGACGCCGAACGGCAATAAAGCCGCGCGCGCGCATTGCGACACGCGCCGCAGCCCCACAGTTCTCAACAATGGAAACAATCGAAGGGCGCGTCGGCGCAAAATGGCGCCGCCCTCAACAATGGAGAACAATATGAAAACGTGAGTAACATGGCGCCCTCCCATGGTAACCAATTGAGCCCGAAGTAGGCGGCGTGCGCGTCTTTAAAAAAAGTATAAAGAAGGTAACGAGTGCTAATTCGAGGGTGAAATGTAATAAAAGGGGTCACGGAAGCTTGTCGTCGCGCGCGCGGGGCGGAGGCGCGGGCGGGGCGCGGGGCGCCGTTGTGATGCGCGCGTGCGGGCGGCGTCCCTGTCTGCAGGTCGTCCTAGCTGCGCCTGAAAATGCGTCGGAGCTTCCGCTTGGCGGTGCGGTGCCGCGGGGGGCCAGCCGGCCGCGCGCGACGCGCGCGCCGCCTCGAGGCACGGCGTCGCGAGCGCGGCGCGCCCGCCGTGCGACCGGCGCGCCGGGCGGCGGCACGACCGCCTGCGTGCCGCTGGGGCCCACGCGGCGTACGGCTTCGCGGCGGCGGCGCGGGCGCGGCAAAGAGCCGCTGGCCTAGGACGCGGCCGCCGGCGGCGGCAGCGCGGAGTCCGTCTCCGAGGGCTCGACCGCCGGCGGCGCGCCGCGCGACGTGCCGCTGTAGCCGCCGGCGGCGCGGACCACCACCACCTCCCCCCCGGCCTTGGAGGCCGCGCCGGCCCGGCGACTCCACGCCATCATCAGCGCAGCGGCGACGGTCCGCGTGGCGAGGCGCGCCACGCGCAGTGCGTGCAACGGCAGAGTGTGGTGGTCAAGACTTTTTACACTGGCTCGTCGCTCTCGAGGCTGGACGTTGAGAATATAATATTATCGTCTGTGTCCAAGTGTTGGCTCCGCGGCGTCTAGTGTGCCCGTATGTGTATTTTGGCGGCAACTCCACGACCGTTGTGAGAACAACAGGCAAGTTCTCCTTTCATCAATGTACAGTGAATTGTGTGTGTGTTCCTTGAGTGTATGTTGGCACACGAATGGCTCTATTTAACCTCTCTATGAGGATATGGTGTATGCAAATTTCAACATTCAGTGTCAGTATTATCCTACCGTGGCATTCAAAAGCGTGAATGTCGTGTGTGATTTATGAGAAATCAGATTCGTTTCTTTTCATGATTTTTGTCGTATCTCTGTGGTTTTAACTATTTATTGTGATTTGGATCTACCCAACAATGCTAACAAGAAAGACTCGGTGTTTTTGTGACATAAGTTGTTATTTGACAAATTCGGTTATTTGTTGGTCAACTTTACGGTGTGCTGCATTGTATCTGCCATCGTGGCCTTCGACTAACGACTTGAGTGCTCAGCATTGCAGTAATAGTGTGTGTAGAACCCTATTACGTAATACAAGCAGAAGACTACAATGGTAGACCAAACATGGTTGTTTAAAAGTTTGTAACGCATGTTTAATATTTTTGTTCTTTCGTTTTTTGACATTTCTGCATGATATCTGTATTCTGTTTTTCGATACTGATAAACGTCAATAGTTAATATTTGTAAAATTATTTAAGTTGGTCTTCCTTTGAAACTCATTAATTTAGCAATGATGTAGAAAATATATATAGTATACAAATATTAAATGTTCTTGTGAAGACAAATTGTAAATTTTCTCGACAATATCTCCCCTCCCTCTTATTTTTGTATTTGAAACGTGTTATACAATGCTCTCTTATAATTTATAATTGGGAGTGTTTTTGGTAGTTTTAACTATGCTCATGATTACTAATTTCGTTTTCAAGAAAGCTGTATCAATTGAATCAATAATCTAGAATTATGTATATGCAAGGTGTGCAACAATTTGCTAGACAGTTCATTATTGCATCATTGAAACACTGATTCTTCAGCCCGTGGCAGGGGCTGCACTTCGCCCAATGAAGAGTTTTTAACTTTTTTTAACTGTTAAATCAACGGTCACTAATCAAAGACACAATTCTTAAAGTGTAATGACGTGTAGATTTGATTTCCAAATAATCCTGTGCTTTTAAATATAGATATATTTTAAATTCTTGTGTTGAAAATTTCGGAGCAGGTCAAATTAAATGATCATATGATTTGATAACAAATTCTGTCTCTTTAATTTCGTATGTAATTAAGAATTCTACGGTTTTATGTATTAAAGTTGTTAATAATTTAGTTAATATAAATTGAATTCGTGGTCGAGACCATCACCAGGAGCAAAAAATTCATAAATTAGTATTCGGAGGAAAAGGGCGGCCAATATAAATTAAATTGAATGATATTTCAAAACATCAAAACAATCAAAATTATCTTCTTTTATTCTTAATTTGATTGCATTTTTTTCAGAAAAAAACATATCTTGTTTATAAACCGATTATATCAGATCGTAAAATTAGATAAGCATACAATACAGCTAGAAAACGAAAGGAAATTGTGAATCTTAGGGAAGAAGAATTAAGGAGTTAAGAAATAGTTTTGAACCACCAATCTAACGAAAAACGTACCCATACCAATTCAAGCACAACTGAACACACTCGCTCAGAACAAAATTAAATAATAAAACGCCGTTGGAACGTTAGAAATCAATGAAGATTATTTTTTTATTAACATGTTGAAGTAATGACACTCTATTGTAACTATTTTTGAGTTGTGTACATTGTAGGATGAGGAGCAAGACACTGTAATTTGTGAGGCATTGTTGCAGAATTCCAAGGTCATCTAAATATCGCTTTTTCTCCAATGAAAAGGTTTCTTAATTGCTCAAAAGTTTTATCCTCATTTATATTGCTGTGAATGAGCCCTTGAAGTGCGTGTAGTTTTAAGAAGCATAAGATTGGAAAACATCGCATCACCGAATCTCAAGAAATGTCTTTGTCTCTGTTATCACACACCTACAAAATAAGACATGGAGTATATCTCCACGTGCGCTTTATAATGTGCCATCAGCTAACTTCTAATTCAAATGGAAATTTCCTCCTGAGAAATAATGTAGATCAAGAATACAAATTTATGAAAAGTGTAGAACTATATAAGCAGAAGTCGTCATTAGCAAATCTCCCATGCGGTGTTTCCACTGCATTTTCGAAGAGATTTTCATCGGACTGTGAGCCGATTGAGCCACCAGAAACATGTGTCCCGCCTCCGAAAAGTTTCACAACACTTTGGGCAGCCGAGCGTGCAGCAGCATTAGCTTTGCTGGTCTTGCTGCCAATTAATTTCTTATGTCCAATAGAGCCCTTGGAATTGATGGCTGCCATTCTAGCTATAATGCACAATCACTGGGGCATGGAAGGAGTAATAGGAGACTATGTTCGACCAAATCTTTTTGGTCGACTTATTCCTAAATTTGCTCACTTCACTGTTTATGCGTTTTCAGCAGTTGTTTTGGCAGGTTTACTAGATCTCATATTAAATGGTGAAGGTTTGATTAATACAATAAAAAAGTTTTGGGCCATTCAACCCAAATCTGGTGAACCAAAACCTCCCACTGATTTGTAGTTTTTCATGGCTACTTTTTAAATAATTTTAATAATAAAAATACATCTTTATTATTTCACATCATTTTGTAATGCTGTATTACAAAAGTTCCAATAAATGTTTTGTGCTTTGAAAGACTTCTTGAAATGCAAATGTGTTCAAACTTTTGTGAGAAGTCAGCCATCTCGTGATAAAATAAGTATTGTTTGTTTTTTCCTAATCACCCAATTATTTTATTAACTTCTTTCTGTTGAGCAATTTTAATGAATCAATATTCAAAAGTGTGTTTAACATTACTTTCACAATTCTTTATTTATAAAATCTGTTTATAGGTTACATTTTATTTCAGTACATATACTTACTATATAATATTTCTTTCCTCTTGTGAATTTTTAGTGCGTTATATGCTTTTAATGCATATTGTACTGTTTAATTAACAATGCTAAAAGAGTTGTCAATGTAATGAAAGTTTAATATAGTAAGGACTTTTATTTTTAGTTCAAAACGTTTTCTAAATTAATATTTGTGAGAACTTGTCCTTGACATATATTAGTCTCTCTTATTAATATTTATATTTCCATAAAGATAACAAGTGTACCAAACATCTCTAAAAATATTTATGCACAGTAATGGATAATTTGAAAGTAATTTTGGAGAAATTTTGAATTACACATTTTTAATGGAATATTATTTGAAATGTAATACCATTGGCTATTCATAGCATTTTATAATATTTGCTTACCTTAGCAATTTATGCTTTCATCTTTTCAGACTACTTACATTCATGAGCAATAAAAACAAGAATGGTAATTCAAATGCTTAGTTTTATATTGCAATAGCACAGAAGATGCATATCAAGAAAAGATACCCGAGAACATGCTGTCATTAAGGATATTATGAAACATGATGATTTGTGTCTTTTTGTTGTTGTCCTTCTATAAAACCATAGGGATAGGGCATGTTATCCTCCTCTTGTTCCTCTTCCTCTTGATTATACTTACGAACTGGCTTTGTTGAACCATGAAACTTTGATATGAATTTCAACTCTTCTTTAAGTTCTTGTCGGAAAGACACCTGTTGAGAAGTAAAAGAACAAATATTTATTCTCATTGAAATTGTAATCCTTTATTCATTATCATTATCTATTGTGGATAATCATTTGATCATAGTAATGTATAAACACATTATTTACTTATTTAATAAATGTAATTGAATGTGGTACTATGTGACTTTTTTTTAATTTTTTTTTTTAGTGCAACAGACAGACTGAATTGAATGCAAAATTAATATCATATTTCTACTGTGAAGACTAGCCTATATTGTTGTGTGATCCATGTCAACCCGCATACCAGCAAGTTCAAAGAAATGAGAAAAAAACTTAAAAATATATAAATAAAGTCTTTAGGATTATGATTTTTGTATTTAATGACATTCTTTGACTAACCAATAAATAATATTGGTTGTAATATTATTATATTGTAATATTTATTCAAGAAATAGTTAGTAATTAAAATGTAGTCAGTCTGAGATTTGCTTTCGTAATTTTATTAAAGCTAGAACATAATAAGCAACATATTTTCTTGATTATTGGAAATCTAATCATGTGAATCTGATAAAACACACAAAATGTAACTATTGTGGTCCTAGTAGGGTATTATCCATGCCCTTTTTCTTAGACTCTCATTTTGCTAGATGCAAGAGGAGTGGCTGGATTTTCTTTTTTTTAAGTCAGCTAATATTGGTAAAGGAGTGGGGGTAACGATACCAGGGCTCACGAAGATGTGCCTCTGGACCATGTGTGCATGCACACTGCATTTACCAGGGCTCAGTAACATTTTCTCGCTGGTGGATGCATGTAATTTTTTATCATGGGATCACCATTTAGCTAGATCTGATTTTTATCCTCCAGGGATGTTATCTCAGGGGTATGGAAGATGAAATGATGATAGTGAGGGGTGAAAGAATGACGCACATACAGACATACACAGCACAACCATTCTCGCCCGAGGCAAGGCTCAAACCTACAATCTTCTGGTCAGAGACCGCAAAAGCACTATTTCCTTAGTGATCTCGGCCATCTGATTGGTTTAAGTTTGTTTTATTAATGGAATTAGTTCAAATTTTAATAAAATGTCAAAATTATTTTTCATTTAATTGTACTGTACTCTATCTGTCTGGTGTTGCCTGCAGTCTCAAACTATTTTCTTAAATTTCCATACTTCATAACATTTAAAAAATAAAAACAATTTTCAATGAAAACTTATAAAAATGCAAAATAATTTTGTTTTATTTATAATGTATAATTATCAATATGGGTGGATTTTGATGACCTAAAACATTGCCAAAAATAATCAATAAACCAGTTCAAACAAACAACTCAAGCTGTTGGATATGTTACTGATGTAATTGAGGCTGCTTTTCTTTCAAGTGAACTCACCATGCAAAGTTTTGGTTTAGACTGTTCTTTAGCAGGAAATCGGATTTCTATTATCCCAAAATTGGCCAAACTGACAATAGTGCATAACTAAAACCTTAGATTACATACTCGCAACACCTAACATTACAATTTCAGAGCAAGGAAATTGAATACCCTACTCAGTAATTCTGTAAAGAAAATTCGTTGCAACTCATAAATATTGAAAGCATGTACCATTACAATTATATTAAAATTGATGAAATCATCAGAAAATGCTTTAAAATGACGGAAATAGGTTAAACATGACTTATTAGTAAAATTGATGAAAAATGCAAAAAAAAAAAAAAAAAAAAAAGTTGTATCAAAATGGAACATTTTCTTTTGTCATAAAAAGAAAATAATGTCTGTTCAAAAAGGCATTGTTTTTAATTGAAAAGAAAGTATGACATTTCATTAAAATTCGGCCTCTAATTGTCAATAAATGCAAATTCACAAAGAAGGGGAAAATGAAGTTATATGCTTCTACCATAATTTCATATTTATTTTAAAATATCAGGGAAAAGTATCACAATCTTACTTGTAAACAACACACTGTGAAATGACATTATGTATCGCCAACTCATGATATGCAATGAAAAATTTCCAATGAAAATCAAGATCAAATTTGTTACACTATAATACAGAGTTCAAGATGGCAGCAATTCCTTTTGGCTTGTTAGACTTCTTTTTCAAATTATGCAATTTGGTAGTTGCGATGGAAAGTCTGTTTAAGGGTGAATGTGCATTTCTGTCTAACAGTGGTTCATAAATTACTTAAAGCTAAGGATGGGGTTAGGTTTGAGGTGTTATACTGCATTACATAGGAGGGAGGAAAGGTTAGTTTAGTTTTGCAATGCTGTTTGTTTGAATCTGTAAGAGTATGAAAAAATATTCAAATCTGACATGTAGTATATTCTAGAATCTATTTAAATTGATGCAGTAGGTTCTCACCCATACGTCATCCACAATGGCATATGCACAGCTTGTGATGGAAATTTTCTTGTCCATGCAAGAAAATGCACTTTCTTCACTCCCAAATTGCCCCCAATATTGCTGGGACCAGTGAGCATCACCAACTAATTTAATCTTTATTTATCATAAATATTAATGTACAACACAAATAACATGAATAAAAATTGTTTTTACTTTCCTACGATTGATATTCACTTCCAGCATTTGCAAAGGTGATTGTGTGTTGTTGCAGCAGTATGTAATTATATAGGGAGGTTCAAGAGGATACAGAGGGGAGAGGGAATTTGCATTACGTAATTTTTTGGATGTCCCCTTACATATCATTTGTCCTGATTATGATGCAGGTCCTCATGCATGGTAGTATTGGTAGGTCCCTGAAATCTTTTTGACTGCATCAAAAGAAGACTAACTGAAAGGTATTGCTCTTAGCCTTGGTCAGAATGTGACCTGCAGAACAGCAGGTACATGAAATCTATTTGATTGTATCAGAATGTGACCTGCCAAACACTAATGAATCAGAAGTTTCCTAACAATCAGGGACAAATGTTACATGAGTAACTTGGAAAAAATTGTGACACTTCTACTTGCCCTAAAAGTTTGTAACATTTATTCTGTACTTATATTGTGAAAAAAATAAGTTTCACACTGTCAATTGATGTGGTTTTGTGTAGATTTGCTACCTTATTAAATTACAGTTAAGATTTGCAATTAATTTACTCCTATCAATTGTAATAATTGAGTTTTAGGTGTGAAATTAAGAGAAAACTAAGCAGTCTTGAACGTAGCTTTTAATGATTTCGTTACCTACTCAGATAATCGGGAAAATCTTAAAACATGGATACAAATTCTATTTACACTGAAAATTGCAATTGATTCATTTGCATTTGATTCAATTCAATTCAATTGCATTTGATTCATTGTGTTATTCCCTTTGTTCTCATAATGTGCGTACCAACTGAATTCTCATTTTCAATATATCACAGCTCACAACACTGTTGATGTCATACTACAGTGAGGCTCCAAAAACTTCTATTAAATATTTGTTATTCACCTGTTCTGTTAAGGAACAAAAACGTTTTCTTTATTCTTGGTATGTAGAACACTGTTTTTGTAGTATTTTTGAAGTCTTTTCATGAATATGTTTAATGTATTCCAGTGTTTTACAAGATATTTTATTTGTTGTTCTCGAGCAGTGTGCAGCTACTTTTTTGAAAACCTTGTTGTCTGATTTATCTCTGCAGCATTTTTGCTGTTAAGGCTAGTCTTCTTTACATAAACATCATAAGAACATGGAAACGTCTGAATACTATTAACGTGAACAATTTACTGCATACAATAGGTAGCACAACTAGGTCTCTTTTAATCAAAATGTAGGTTATTAACTAAACTAGTCAATTTAACCCTACCATAAATTAGTCTTGATATAGTTATAAAGACTTTGTGGTTATAACTTAGAAATTATTTGAAAGAATGGCTTTAAGGAAATAAATTAATTAGAATCAAAATCATGATCATGTAGAGTTAAAATATTAACTACACTTAAAAAGTTGGTATTTTCTTTTCGTTTTTTAAAACTTGAATTAAAATTGTAAAGTGTCATCAATATTAGAAAAATATTTAAAGAAATGTTTTATTATTTACTTCAAATTTTAATGTTAGTAATTAATAATAATTAGTTCTTTAAGATGAACGGGTAAAATATTGAATTTGTAGGTTCATGAATTTTCCATCATTTTAACTTGTGTTAAGCAAATTTCCATCAAATTCTATTATAATTTTTTATCATCTAATTTCTTCATCCCCTTAAGATTAATTATTACCCCTACTTATTACCTTCAATTGGTACCTGGTAAGAGGAATCATAAACACCTTCTTCTGAGAAAATTAATAATCACGAGAGTTTAAAAAATACCCATTGTAATTTCTATTTTTGAAAACACAGACTGAATTCTGACTTTTACAATTGTACATGTTCTTAATAGATTTTTGGATTTGCATTTCATTCAGGTTTGAGGGGATTTACCAATGTAACATTTGCTTTTAAGTTACTAATGTGAGATCATTAGAGGTAAGAGCATTCATCTAGTCAGTGAAAAGTTCTGGGTTCAGTTCCCTGTGATGTCAAATATTATTCTTTGTGAGAGTAAATTTTTTCTTAATAGACAATGTTTAGTTTTCTGTATTTTTGTGTGATAGGCAACTAGAAATTTGGACTCTTGCATAAAAGAAAATTTATTTGAATTAATAAAAACTACAGATTTGATTTGATAGTATTGCTAACAAAATAGCAACCCACTCACCCTGGCTCCACTCCTATCACAACTAGCAAAAGCTCAACAAAACATACACATATAACTAGAAGCAAAACAAGGGGCCATCTCATCATTTACTCAAGGGATCAAGGAAAACTTGACAAAAATGTGATTGAGATAGGATCATTGACTCTGAAACTGAAGTAAAGTTCTTGTTACAGGCATATTTAGATAAACTCAGTAAAGATGTCAGTTAATGTATTATACATCATTGTTTAAATAAATATTATGAGTGAGATAAAGGAGGTGTAAGACACCACAAGAAATTTACTACCAAATAAATAATAGAGAAAAAAAAATTCTGGTTCCCAAAATGTGAAAACAGTTGTAATACATCTTATTAAATGAAAAGCAAATATGGTTCATATATTATTTCTAATTTGAAAATAATACATTTGCGAACATTTGCTGTTTACATTACTGATGGAGGTAGGTTGAACAAACCTCAAGTTAGGTCAGAAAGGATAGGAATTAGTACTCTCTTCTTAAAAAGACAGATTACATTACATGTCAAACCAATACAATAGAGTAAAAAATATGATGTCAGCATGTGCATTCTTAATTTTTATAATGTCTCCATTTTTTGACAAACATATGGCAAATTGAATAAAATAAATTATGGCACTGTATCAAAATGACATGCATCCATCATTTTAGGTATGTATACAAAATTATTTACCTTGCTGTTTACCTTACTGGATATGCTTAATGTTAATTTAGATGCTCTGTGCAGCCGTGGAAGTTTCGTGACACCCAGGATTCCTGGTCAGGTGAATGTCTGGGAACCCTGGTTACTAACAGTCCCAAGCCCCTCGCCAAAGAGATAGAAGGCATTTATAGGCAGATAAGTGACAAATTAAAATGATAAAAATACAACTGAGAATTTGAAAATGTAACGGAAATTTTTCTTTTTCTTTTTTTTCCCATTTTTTCTTCGCTTTTTTTTTTTCTTTTGCATAGTTTTCACGCAATATGTCCTGTATTATATGCAATTCTAAAAAATAACAAAAACAAGATTTTCTTAAACAAGGATCCAATTTTTTTCTCTAAACTTTTGATAGAGATAGTGATAAATGTACTCTATTAGATGACATAAATGCCATGTTGCTCTGTTCGTTTATTTTTTCAAATTGTATTTTTTTACTTGTCTCTTATGTCATTAATATTTACTTTGGTGACGATTTGTTTACATTAATGTATTTATGAGAACATGTGCTTTAAATACTGTCTACTAAATAAAGTTTCTCTAAAACTGCACAGTTTTCTGAGAAAATGATCTCAAAATACTGCATTTTCAGAAACGCTCGAAACATTTTCACATAAATGGCTCCACTTTTGTTCCTTCAAACTTTATCAATGGATAGTGCTACTTGCACTATTAAATTTGCCATAAAGTTCATTTTGGGAGTATTAATTTGTTTTTTCCAAATATTACGCAAATGTATTTTTTTATAACTGACATCGTTAATATGCTTATTTCTAGTGATTTGTGAGTGAGAGTGCATCAAATTAAGTTTTTTGAAAACTCAAAACTTTTCTGTTCTTCTAATTCAGAGCTTCTAATTTTGCATATCCAGTAACCCTTAAATGCCATTTTCTTAACAACATTTTCATAATTTTCTTAAAAATGATGACAAAACTGCATATTGTTGTATTCTTTTGTTTTTTCTCAAAAATTACAAAAATGTAATCTTTTTGACGTGTCTCTCACCCCATTAATATTTATATTAGCAGCAATTTGTTCACATTATTATATTTATTTTCTTCATTAACATTATCATATTTAATGTATTTATTTCACATTATTATATTATATTTATTATAAAATTCAGAGATTATATGTAGTTGTTGCTATAATGAAAATCATTTATTATTATTATTATTATTATTATTATTATTATTATTATTATTATTATTGTTGTTGTTGTTGTTGTTGTTGTTGTTGTTGTTGTTGTTGTTGTTGTTGTTATTATTATTGTTATTATAAATAGTAGCAGTAAAATAACAATAGCATGTAAATTTTACTATTACTTTGAATATGAAACAGCACAAATATTGTATGTTTAATTATTTTGCTACTGAAAATAATTATCTACTAATAATATCTTAATCTATCTGTAACAAATATTGTAGGACAATTCCTAGAATAATGACCCCATCTCCATCCGGTTTCTTGTCCAGTTTTCCTGGACCTTGTGCAAATGCTGAGATGGCCCATTGTTTTGTTCTCGACAGTAATGTAACTTCACTCTCTGCACCCAGGACATCACATTGACTCGTCATGCACGATTATAATTGTTTATGTGGCTCAATAAAATATTGTTATTATTAATTAAATTTCTTCAAATAATTGGTTGCCTCGACTGGGCCTCGAACCTGGACCTTCTGGTTTATGCCAAGCTGCTCTAGGCACTAAGCTACCAAAACCGATTATATATAAGTTATTATTATTATTGTTATCATTATCATAACCATTATTATCATTATTATTATGAGAACATGTGCTTTAAATAATGCCAGATAAAGTTTCACAAAAACTCAAAAGGTTTCTGTGAAAATGAGCTCGAAATTCCACATTTTCAGAACACATGCTCAAATGCCATTTTCTTAAAAAAAGGCTTCAATTTTTTTTCAAACTTTTCCAACAGAACAAGAATTAATTTTGCTGTATTCTTTTGTATTTTCAAAATGTACACCCTTTTCCCTTCCAAACACCTAAAGACTCTTGACAATGCTATTGTCTGTCCATACTCATTTGAATGTGTATCAAATTAGTATTTAATAGAGGTACCAAAACAGTATTGTGCTTTGAGAGGGAGTGACAACAAATTTTACACTTTATATTTTGCAGATGATAAGGTAGTCATTGCTGAAGATGCTAAGAATCTGAGTTACATCTGATACATAAATTCTACTTAATTTGATACTTAATCTGATGCATAAACTCAATGAATTCAATTTTACTGGGTGAACTCACAATTAAAATATACAGATTTAAGTACTTGATAGTTGGCAGAAATGTAGTAGATATTCCTTCGGAAAAGAGCATGAAAATTAAAGGGTAGAAAAGTATAAATACTTAGGTGTAAAGCTGAAAAAAAAGATATAAGCCAATAAAGAAGAATTAGTTTGGGAAGAATCATGACACAATGTATGATTTCCATGTTGTGGAACAAACGTGTTAATAACATTACAAAACATTTATAGTTAATAGAGAGGAGTCAAGTAAAGTGGTAAGGACATGTCATTCCCATGAATATTAACCGATGCTCAAAAAATGTTTTGAAGTGGATACCAAAGTGCCAGCGGAATGCCAGAAGAGAGGAAGAGTGAGCCTAGCAAGAAAATGAGAAGTGAAGATAGCACTGTCTTGAAAGCAGGACAAATCAAAGATGACTTATGGAAGAGCAGAAATACTTGGGACTGAGGCAGAGAAACACTGATAGCTGTAGAGCAACTGTGTTATTAAATATCATTGTATTATGAAACAATTTCCATAATATCACATCAAATGCAATGTTAAGGTATGGTTCAGAAATTTGGAAATTGGCAAAAAGGTTATCAGAAGTGTGGAAGTAAGGTGTAGTAGTAAGTTGGAAGTTGGGGGGGAAGTAAGTTGTAGCTCAAATTAAGTTTTTTATGGTCAAATTTATGAGGAATAAAATGAACAGACAAAATTCAAAATGAGAATATATAACAATTTGCCTTTGGAGTGTTAGAATCTAAACTTCATACAATTTGTATATGATAGGAAATTTGAAGAAAATAATTTTCATATTTTTTTTTTTTTTGGTTGGAAAGTAGTTATGAATAATTAAATGTTTTAGTACTTTATTTAAATAGATAGTTTGTTTATATTTGTAGGTGGGGCTACATTGCGGTTTTGCCTGTCACTCTTTTCAGCTGCCATAAATCATCACCTGGAGGACCTGACAGAGTTTCCACAGTAAGCTATTACCCCTCTAGAAATAATTCTAAATGGACATATCCTTTGTACTTCCCAAATATTAGCTGATTTAGCCCTTAGACCCATCTTGGTCCTGGTAAGGAGATAGTTCCTCAAAGTTACACATATATCTTGCACAGTTATTGGTCAATGCAAGGGATTTTGAAAGAATTAGAGAATAGAAATTATACATGATGCACTGGGAAATTATCTCATGCCACAAAAAAACTGCAAACATCCATGTTTCACATAAGATTTAAGGCCACAGCCATACATCCTTGAACTTAGGCACACTTTTCCCAAGACCCTGCACTACCAGACTGTCTTGATGTAAATAATAATTATAATATGATATTCAGGTAATTGACTACAATTAGGCAAGATGTGTACATATTTTATTGCTATTATTATATTTGAAATTGATTTGAGTTTTCCATGCAATGTTTTTCTCTGTACATTTGTAGTAGATAGGTTTGTTATAAATCATTTATTCAATACACATTTTGTATCCATTTAGTATGCAACAATAATTTATTTTTTGATGATGCATGACTCCCTAGTTTAGCAATCATTTTAATACGCTTTTTTGTAGAAATTCTTTTATGGTCAAATTTTATGATCACAAATTTCTCTAAGAACCATGATGTTTATGATATTATTTGCCTTTTTTTCATTATTTGCCAATATTTTATTATCTAAATTTTTCTTAATGGAGTACTACCACACATCAAAAGGTCTTTTTTGATATGACATAAATTTCTGAAATTATTATTATTATATTATATTATTATTGCTTTATCACATACACACACTCACACACACATCCATCCATCCATCCATCCGTATCTATATCTATCTATATATATTACTTACCTTTTCTTTTATTGATGTGGTGCACACACTCCATATTAATTCAATGAGGGTCATGAAGACAGCCAAAATGACACCAGCTACCAACACCACAAACACACCACCCACGTTTTCAAGTTGGAGGCCGGCAGTACCTCCTCCCGTATCTTGACTCTGTAAGTCAATTGTATCAATATAACCATAATGTAATTATTTTGATAGTAGGTGTTGGGGTTACCTAGCACTTAGTTTGAGAGACGGGCTGAAAAAATAACACTCATTTGACCTGAAATCCAATTCAACAACTGTTAATGCATTGTTAGTTAAAAATTTCTCCCAGGGAAAGATAAGCCATTCTCTAATCATATTGTTTTAATATTTTAGTTACCCCACCTTCAGGCACTTAGTACTCTGCTCTCACAGCTTGTACGCAGGGTCTCTCAGCTTGTCAGCTGTGAGATTTGTTGATTGATTAATGATTCCAGGCGCGTCAACAGATATGGTTATTATTCCCTTAAGTGTAGTGCATGTTTTCCCGGTAGGTGGTGATCTTCCCCGCTAAATCGTGAGATCCGGCGTCAACCTACCGTGGGCTAGCGGAGTTTCCTCTACCAGGTATGTCCCATCAGCGGGGCACCGCCCCATCCCGGACAAGATGTAAGCTCTTGACCGGTCTCCCGGGTTGTGTGGTAGTTTAGCGCATGCTAATGTGTGTAAGTAAGGGTGACGATAGAACAAGGAAGAGAAAGGAAAGATCGCGCGCGGTCCGTGGCCCTGTTAGGGTACTGTTCCGGAATTCTCTCGGAGAAATCACAGAAAACTACCGAACACAACAGCCGACCCCTAAAATGCTCCTCTAGGCAGCGACTGAACTGGACCTAGCTAGCTAGTGTTGAAAATCCTGCCATCTTCGGGCCTTGAATCTGGGTCCTCCCGATAAGAGGCACTGCAGTGACACTTGGTCTGATATTTGTCAGGTTTCCTTGATTAATGGGAGGATGAAGAGGTATGTACATCTCTTGGCTTTAATAAGAGGAGATGGCCCAGGACATCAACTGATGTCACTGCAGGGTCTGCCCAGGAGGTCCTAGGGTTCCAGTCCCGATGGTGGCAGGTTGTCCCCTTGTCCCACTTTGTCTCGTTTCACTATCTTCCTTTGTCCCATTTTGTCCGATTGACCTATTTTTATAATTGCCTAATTTGTCCTCTTTTCCATATTTGCCCCTTTTCTCCCCTTTTCCAGTTTTGTTAATTTTGTCCTCTTGCTTTTAGTCCTCTTTTCCCCAATTTGCTCTTTTGGTCCTGTCAGGCACTGCGATTGTTATTTTAAAACGGTGTTGCAAATTGCAATGAGAATGAAATTTTTTCCGTGGATTCCAAAACTTCTAGTAATGTGATATTTCGACAGGCCGTGGATTGCGAACTGGAATCCACGGGGTGTGTAATCCATGTCATTTGTCGATTAAATATACAGCAGGCATATGTATATTATTAAATTGTATTAGAGAAACTATTTTTAACACGCCGTGAGCGAAACGCAATGCGTCAAGTAAAGGAAGTAGTGGATGGCTAGTCCACTTCATATAAAATCACAAAAAATAAGGACATTCCATCTTTTATGAAGTAATTTTTGATAATCAAATTCAAACATCCCAACTTTTGTAGCAGTAGAATTTGATACCCAATGATAATAGTTGGGGTTAATTGGAATTACATTATTACAACAGCCAGAAAGCTATTTGAATTCAATGGTAAAAAATTCAATCATGAAAAGCTAGTACTATTACAAACGTACAATAAACATTTGACTGGCAACAATATCAGCCCCCCAAAAAAAATGTTACTTATGATATTTCTGATGCAACAAATATGATTTAGGTACGCAAGTTTCTTTGTTTATACTGTTAAAACATTTGCACTCATGATATTCTAAAATGAATGCAGTTGATGAACTTACTGCACACACTCCTCCTCCACGCTCCTCTTTCCACCATTTATCTTTCAATGCCATTAACCTTCCTGATTCTTGTAGCTTTAGCACAGCTGCACTTAATGCATTTCTGTATGGTGCTCCTGGAAAGCAAAATAATTGTCACATTCTCTCAATAAAATCTGCTTTTGATGTTACAAACTAATTTTAATTTGAATCACACAAATTATTCAAATGATTGTTTACTCCAGTGTATCTATAATAATTACAAAGGCACGTAAAAATAACTTATTTGTATAAATATTGTAGCGGCACAGAGTGTTTTTCTAAAATGGTTGATCATAAGTTTTCACTCTGGAAGATAGTAGAATAAAAAGATATAAACAAGGTACAAAGTTAGTAAATACTTGGCAGTCTGGGAGACACCATGTCCTAGGTATAGGTGCCAAAATTTTGGCTACCATTCTGCAAATATGCATTTTGCCCTGAGGAAGGTCACAGAATGACAGCTGAATTATCGGCACCTGTGCCTAGAATACAGTGCCTCCCAGACAGCTAAGTAATTATTGACCCCAGCCACAGAAATCTATGCTTTCAAAGTACAAAATTGTTATAATTAGAGATCAGAACTTTAGGCACCATAAATCTCTAAAACAGGTGGGCAAAAGGGCACTTAAAACTGCCAAAATAGGCAAACACAAAAATGGCAAAATAATGTTCATTTTTTAAAATAATAATTTCATTGTGTTGCCCAGTAAACAGGGTGACACAATAGAACATGGATTGCACAATTGTTTTAATAAAAACAAGGCAAATAAATATGGATAAAAAGACAATTAATTTTTTGACAAAATGTATTGAGTTTCCAAACAATTTTTCTAATCTGAACAGTATTTTCTTAACTTTACTGTGGTTAAATTGTGCCATCTGTCACGTAAAAGAACCATTAAATTGAGAGAGAGATTTTTGTGTCGACAGAGGTTACTGGAGCACATTTTAGACACAATAGATTAGAGGGATTCATTTCTGTAGCAATTCTTAACCTCTAGTATTTTCAAAACAACTTTAAAGTTTTTGTAAATCAGAATTTTGGGAAATTCTTTTTTAGATATCTCCAAAAGATTAATCCTTTTTCACCAAGCATTTCTGGAGCTATTGTTAAGCATCATCTATAAATTTCAAGCTGCCTTCTTTCTCCAATTCAAATAATGGAATCTGGTAAAAGAAGATAGATGTAATTAAAAATACATAATTTTTTTATTTCTGAAGAATCAAGAAGTTTCTTTGTGAATCCAACTGATGATGTTTCATCCGCAAGACTGTTGAGCATAGTGCATTGTGTGCATTGTGTCTTATGAAATTGGAAGAGGAGTAAACAGCTACTGAAATCCATATATCCCAACTCAAGGTCGGTTGATGAGGCATTGACAGATTTGAGTTCTGGAAGGACATTTAAAAAAAATCTCCTTAATACTTGCATTCTATTTGTCCACCTCAGGAAATGAACATCTCACTTTTCATACTACTGCAAAAAAGCATGAGTTACCTAAGATAAGAGAAGATAGTTGGGAAGAACACTTTCAAAGCTTTTAATGCTCTTTTTCATATATGGTACTCATCATCAACATCATCACAAACTGCAGGTTACCAAGCCTGCTTCCCAAAAGTCTCTTCCTGTTTCTCAGTAGACCAGGAGACTTACACCTCCAGGTGTTCCTGATCCTGATCTAGCCATTTCTTTATAGTCTTACCCCATCCTTTCGCTCTCTTGGTTTGTACTTCAACACTAATTTTGGTAATCTTTTTTGGTTCATTCTGTTAATCTGAGAGAGATGTTTTCTCTGTCCCTTATTTATTTCTTCTATTATATTTTTTGTCTTTAGCCAATTTCTGATGTCTCTATTCCTTTGTCTATCCTTTAGTGTCACTCCTGCAAGACTGAGATTTGTTTAATTATCCCAAAGTAATTCTCAGAAGAGGTGTTGTTGAATTTATTGTTTGATAAGTTTCATACATAATTGTTGTATTTAACAATATTTTTAATAACTAATGTTTTAACATAGCAGTTCTCATTATTCATTAATTCTCAAATGTTACATCAACTTTCTTACTTTGAAGAAGTTGACAGTTGATCCTCCACTTTTTGCTCCATATTGGATAACATCCTGGTCCACAAGATTATATGCTGTTTGGAAAGATTGTAATAAGCACTCTACTATTAAGATGGCAGCCAAATATGCTGTGTAAGATGACACCATAATAATAATGAAGAACCACTAAATTCCAGCCACCATTTGTGTAGGGAGCATATGAGGGAGCTGAGAGGGAGCATATTTATATACATTTCAACAAAACTTCAAATGTGATTTTAAAAAAAAATGAATTTACAATATATATATGCAATTTTATATTGTCCCTCTGCTCAACTGATCTCAAATATTTGTAATTACATACTTTATGTTGAAGCCTTAAAGAAGAACTGAAAGCCATGTTTGGATGTTTTGAAATGTATTGTTTTTTGACTTAGTGTGAGAAAATATTTCACTCTTCTTTGTAAATGATACATTATGCATTTAAAATAAACTAATTAAATTTTTAAAAAGGAATCCAAAACACAAATTTAGCCAACAATAGGTATTTATTGTGAAATGGAAAATCACTATTGAAACTACAAAGCTGTAATTTGTTTTAAAAATTTACATAACTTGCTCAAATTAAAAAAGGCATTTTGCTGATGTTCTGATCTCTAGTTATAATGCTCAGGGCTAATGTAACTTCCATGAATAATATTAGAACTGACCTTTCTTCATGGCAATGCCATAACCTTTGGAATCTAAAAGCCCACCATATTGTTTCACCTCACAATGTCGTTCCACAATAAACTCAATAGCTGCTGATTCCATAAAGAAGGCATAATTTTCATTTTTTACTTTATCTAATCCCTCTTCATTAGAACTTGGTAAAAGACCTGGTGTGTTATTCATGTAGCGAAACATTCGCTGAAATGGTTCTTCTGGAGAGTCCTGAATGAACAGAATTAATTAATGATTAAAACATATTTATGAAAAAGTCATAACATCAACTGAGACATTACTATACAATTTAATTAACCATGAAAAACTGTGTGGATCTAGTTGAGTAGCGCACTTTGGTTTATTTGAAAAACAGTAATTAAATGGGAGAAGTTAATTGAGAATGTAGTCAACATTAAAATTTCCTATTAATGAAATTTATATTTTTTCAACTTTCTAAATAATTTCTTCCTTTTCAAGGAATGGAAACAAGTTTTATTTTTATATTTTTCTCACATAAGTTTTTCTAATTTAAATTCGTTAGTTAACTGGGATTCATTTTGGAAAGTCGATATATGTTTCTGAAATGTACTTCAGAGTTGGGCAAATATAAGGGAAATACAATATCTTTATATTTAAAACACTTTGGACTTCTGTTTAGAAAGATATTTGAGCTCAACCTAATTTCATGAATTTTTATGCAAATGAATGTGGTGGACCAAATGGATCACTTGTGTTATTTCTTGAATTATTGATCAGTTTAATAGCATAAATTCTAAATTTTGAAAAATTAATAGAGTTAACATATTTGCTGTTATGAGTTCTTTATGCCATTTGGTTGTGTAAAAACTTTCAATGCAATCTAGTGTGAGCAAGTGTGTGTGAGTTTGATGTTATAGTTAGCAAAACTAAAATGGTAAGTTTTTTCAATCAGAAAATTAAACACATTGCCCCACTGTTATTTGAAATGTGTTAGCAAAATCTTAACAAAAATATTTCAGTTATAGTAATAATATGTGATGTATACTGTTTTAATATTAAGGAGGATAGTAGGATTGCCTGCTCTTGTTCGTTATTACATTCATGTCCAGATCTTGGTAAATCAATTTCAATTACATTTTTAGAAACATGTTTGTATCTGCATTCACAGTGAATAACAACTTTTGTTCCAAAAAATGTAAACCTCTTCCCTTTCATTAATCTTAGATAATAAGAATACTGAATAGCATAAAACAATATTTTGGGGCCAACTTTCCTCATGGTTTATATGTTGTACCTATTTTTCATTGTAACTTGTCTACAGTTCTTTCATTAGTGGGATGGAATTGCAAAGGCTCAGCCAGATTTTCTTAATTATCTCAAAGTAATTCTCAGAAGAGATATTGTTGAATTTGTTGTTTGATAAGTTTATTACTGTATTTGACATTATTTTTAATAACTAATGTTTTAACATAGCAGTTCCCATTATTTATTATTTTATCATTCATTGTTTCTCAAATGTTACATCAACTTTCTTACTTTGAAGAAGTTGACAGTTGATCCTCCACTTTTTGCTCCATATTGGATAACATCCTGGTCCACAAGATCATATGCTGTTTGGAAAGGTTGTGATAAGCTCTCTACTGTTAAGAAGGCAGCCAAATTTGCTGTGTAAGATGACACCATAATAAGAGTGAAGAACCACCAAATTCCAGCCACCATTCGTGTTGATACAGCTCTGAGAGGGAGCAGAAACGTTTTATATACATTTCAACAAAACTTCAAATTTTTTTTTTTTTAAATGATTGAATTTACAATATATACATGCCATTTCATACTGTCCCTCTGCTCAACTGATCTCAAATATTTGTAATTATATACTTTATGTTGAAGCCTTTAAGAAGAACTGAAAGCTATGTAATATTGATAATATTTTCTCTAGTACCTTGATATTTCCATATTGTCACTACTTTTTGGAAAAATTGAATTAGAACTATATAAAGAGACATAAATTCAACTAAATATCAGTTTGTCAATATATTTTCTTTTATTAGAAATAAAGATGAAATAATTCATTTATCGATTGTCATGTCGATTGTCTGATGGAATTTGACACTAAATGTTTTGTTCAAAAAGAGTAGCAATTTTTAACTGAAAAAAAAGCTTCTTCTGTCTTATAAGATATAAAGTATTTATGATATTGCTATTTGTTAACATCATAAAATTGTTCTTTGTTAAGTTTGAAAATTTTTGACTTACATTGGAGCAATATCAGATCCTTGTTGCATGAGTGAACCAATTGTAAACCATAAACTATTTTTGAAGCTGAATTGGTTGATCAGTTCATCTGGATCATCTATACATGGGTAGGGATTGGTCCATTCGTAGGGACATATCCTGTGGAAAGAAAATTTTGATTTTCATTACTGTTCTGATTCTTTGTAACAGTAATTCAAAACACTTTAACCCTCACGGGCCCAACTTATCTCATACCTTCCCATGAGGAACAGTAGGAGTGAAACTCCTATATATGCAAAGAACATCACTATCCATACATCAATAGAGAAAGGATCCATGAAAGAGAATAGTTTTGGTGGTGCTTTTGTAGGGGCTTTGTATAATATGCTAATACCTGTAACACACATTTGTTGATTCTGTTAGAAACAAGAATTTTAGTCATGAAGCATAGTCGTTCTTGCTAAATGTTAAAAAAAATTGTAGAATTAATTTACAATGAATGGAAAAAAATATCAGTATGGTATCAATTATAAAAAGTGCAAAATATTTCTTTCATGGAAGATTGATCACTGGGAATGTGAGAAGATTATTCATTGGTTTTATGTTCTATTAAAATATGTGGAGGCTTTGCAATCATATTATTACATAAGTGAAAGCAAATAAGAGTTTGTATTTTAAACCAGAGGAAAAGCCAAAAGTTACACAATGCCGAAGGTGTGTAGCTTTCTATATTAATTCCTGGGTTTAATTGAAATAGAGCATGATGAAGTTCATCATATTTAAAAATTTGAACTGCCTATTACATTTTTGATTAATTTTTGCTATTCATCTCTTTACCAAATTTGTAATGAAATTAACTGTGGGTATTAGACTTTAAGTTATGTGGATGTGGGTGTTAGAAAGTATGTGCTGTTGTATCTTGACTAGTATTAGTAATGGCAGAGACTAATAGTAATTATTTACTAGTTGGACTCACACAAACATTTCACAATTTGTAAATCTTTGTTCTAAAAATGAAGATAGCTACGTACTGGATTAGAACTTCTGGCCACTACCTAAACTGTACATTGAAGCCTTGTAGACCAATCGTAATGAGGCTATTTAATTTTATGTAGATTTCTAGTTCTTGTTAATATTTGACCATCTTATTATGGTCCCGATCTTCATTCAATTTTTATCTCCACTTTATCTCCATGTGTCCCTACATGCTCCCCATATATTCCCTTTGCATGTTCACAAGCTCTATCATATGCACTCATTTTCTCTACATATTTCTCCTCTCAGATGGAACTCGTAACTAAATAGAGTATCCAAAACAGTAGTTATGCAACCTCAAAAACCTTTTTAAATCATTGTTTTAAAAGTGAAAATAGCTTCACACTGGAACCCCATCTTTCAGCAATATAATAGAATATCCAAAGATGTCATATTTTAGATTTCTTTAATTAGATTACTTTAACGAAAACATAATTGGGTCTCAAAAACTGATTTTAAGGCTCTAGGATGCATCATTTCAGAGTTATGCACAGTGGCAAAATGTGTTGCAGTGTATGTGTTTTGCGGGTTGCATGTTCGCTTGATACTTCAAATAACCCATGCTCTGTGAACTTCTAGGTGTTGGATCTTATCTCTCTTTGATTAATTAGGGTTAATCGATTATTCTTCAGAAATATACATATGGGGTTTTGTGTCAATAGATTCTTATAAAAGAGTATAATCCGTCATATTTCTGAAGCTTATTAGAGGAAATAACGGTCCTAAAAAATAAATTTCAAGACAGTGTTGCAATTCATCAGTTATAAAAAGTGCTAGTAATAGTGGATATTGAACTGGTGAACTGTAAGTTATTCACCTTAAAAAATCTTGTTAACAAACCTGTACTCATAAATGGCATTGTAAAATCTACAGCACTTTCTCGTTCTGCAGTGATGGTCAAATCTGTAATTGCGAGATCTGCTTCCTGTAACAAATATTTACAAGTTTAATTGTCTTTCACCATTTAGGATTGTTACTACTTTAGTTTTAATTTTAGCCAAATGTGTGATAACTTAAAATAATATCATGTTTGTTCTGAAAATATTCCTTTATTGTAGGGATAATAAGTTTTTAAGATTAAGTTAGATACAAATTTAATTGATTTGTGTGGTTTTCATTATTTTACTTGAATGAAACAAATTTGACAATTTATTTATCAATGCTTTTATTGTGATATTCATTTTGAATAATAAATTATTACTTTAATGTTTTTATTAATTAATTGATATATCTGTAAAGCTACAATTTAATATCTTTACTACTTTATAAGAAGACAACCTTGTTATGTCATCAGGTAAGTATGTGAATTGGAGAAAGCAAGTAAAGATTGAACTCCAACAATTTTGACAGAACAAAGGTAATTTTTTCTTAAACAATAATACTAAGTGAGACATTTATGGAGATGTAGCCCTAAAAAAAAGTCTTAGAATAAATGTTGCAATCTTCTAGGGGTCGGAGACTTTTTGCCAATGAACAAGTAGTGGGAAATTTCATATAACGGACTTCTACATACTTCATTCTCCTTGATTTTTACGCAACTATCTGCGTCCAGATGTTTGACATGTTACATTCTGACGCAGTCTAGGAGATTCCATGTACTGTCGAACATTTATGCATTCGGGGTTGCTTCACACAGGGGCCAATGACAATGTACGTGTGCCTATGATTCTCCGATTTGCATATGACAAATTCGTTATACGCAATTTATTACATCAATTATGAATGCATTATATACAAATGTGAACATTTATATACGTATTTATGTACGTAGTACAGAGAAATTTATGTAATACTGCGTAAAAAAACGGCGGATTTTCGCCAGAAAAATTTCATTGCCAGAGCCTGATTATGAAAAATTGGATAAATTCATATTGGCCAGTATGTAGAAGCGATAAATTTGTTGAGATACACCGCCCTGATTGTGGGTATTTTGTATGTGTAGTTAAACACTATTAATTTTAATTTCACGAGTGGAATAGTCAAGTTAAACATTTTAGCAAGTGTATTGGAAATTATACCTAATGATATTAAGGGAAGTGAAAATAGTAAAGAAGTGTCAAAGAGTATTGTGAAATCATAATCAATACCTCCGATTTGAAATTTGTTTGTCACGAAAATGTAGATAATTAAAATTAATTTTCATGTTACTCACGTTATCCATTATTCGTCGTAACATTCCATTCCATTCACCTGTTTTGGGATCTCTACTACCATATTTGTTGTCATGTTGAACTTCCAACGTATAGTTGAATCCAAGCATCATAGAAAGGTCATTGATAATATCTACACCATAACCTTCATAACGATCATTGCCTCTTAATTGTATTGTCTTTTCTTTGCGCATACCGTACGGATTAGTCTGAAAGGAAGGAATATCTTGAAAATAACATTTGTGATAATAAAAATGTTTAAACAACTTCATCTCAAACTCATTATGGGAAATTAATATTTTTAATTAAAAAAATGAATGGGAAAGAGAAATAAAATCAAATAGCTTACATAGTAAATTGTATTGTGTAAATCAAGACATTTTGAATTTTCGATCCTTTTAATAAAAATTCACATTGCTAATAATTAGGGTCATCAAAATAGATTATAGATCATTGCGATACAATTGATTTCAGCAAATCTCATGCATCTTATTCTAATTTTATTCTGTATGAAATATCTATTTAGTGTTCTTACCAAGGCAATTAGAACAATAAAAGTGCGATTCATGAGACTTTCACTGCCACTTTCAACATCTGGAGATACACGAGTTAGATTGAGACCAAGTGTCGTGTTCCAAGTTCCCACTTTTTGAATACCTTTGTCCATTACCACTTCAATGATATCGAGTTCAATATTACTCCGGAATCCTTCGTTGTCAAACAAGATTTTGCCTGAAAAACCTTGAACTGCAGTTTCTGTCTGAAATCAGTATTAAAACATTGATTCAATCATCATGTATTATAGTTTACATAGATGTCTTATTAATTAAGCGACATCTATGTAGCACACCTTTGTCAATATAATTATTACACTGGCAAAAAATCATTTCGATTCTAATTGTTATTTAAGGAAGCTTGATGCATCGGTTTTCCTACCCAACCAACGGTTTCCTACTGGCTTAGGTGGCTCAGGGCACCAATAGATGCCACTGAAGGGCTGTTAACCGGATGGTCCTATGGTTAGAATTACGACGGTGTCTGGATGTTTGACACTAGCTAAATTGCTAGATTTAATTCATCCGCTGTCTGGATAAGAACTCTATCAGCCGGCTGCTCTCATTGGTGGTTTTCCGTGGTTTCTTCGATCAACACCAGGCTAATGTTGGAGCACTACCCAAATGGGACACGGACCGCGCAGTTGTTCTATCCTCCCTTACTTACACACTCTGTCATGCACTATACTACCACACATGCCGGGAATTTAGGAGATTGTCTCGGCTGGGGCTGTGATCGCTGGGGGAGATACCTGGTTGGAAAACACTCCGCATGTCGACATGTAGGTCGGTGCGAGATCTCGCCGTCTAGCGTAAGAAAGTGACCGTTCCCTCCCGCGATAAAAAAGTGCACTAAGCTTATGGGACTAATGGCCATAGCAATTGATGCACCCGAAACAATCAAACAAAACCGAAAATGTTTGCTTTCGAGAAAACTCAGCTTTCGGGCGCGCCAATCAAGTAGTCCGCGCTGCTCCGAACCACGCACTGCAGCTGCACTCAGATGGGGGTGGAAGAGACGGGTGAAATGTCCTTGCACGGCGGCCCCGACACCTCGGGCGGGGCGAATCCCGCGACTCAAAGCGGAAGATTTTGTGTCGGGCTTTCCGGTGCTAACACCATCCGCTTCAAAGACTTTTTTTAATAGCCAACTGCACATCCTGCTAATGGCAAGGGCCACCTGCTTGAGCAGGTAATTATTAATTCTTCTTTAATGAAGTGATAGGATGATGGTGATGAAGGGTGAAAGGATGATCACAAATACATCCATGCCCGAGGCGGGATTCGAACCCGTGATCCTCCGATCCGAGACACTAATGCCTTAACGATCCCGTGAACCTACGCAGATTGACCTTCAAGCACTTAATGAAACGCAACTGCTGAGCATGTGTCCGTCCAGCGCGGAGTATTTGAATTGCACGCCCAAGTTAATTTTAGTTAGGATTCGTTTTTTCTCCTAAACGAAAATTTTTGCCAGGGAATAATATGTTATCTTCTTGGCTACCTGGGAGACGCCGCGTCTTGGGCCCAGATGCGAAATGCAGATGGTCGCAGCATGACGGCCGAATCGTTGATATCTGTGCTCTCGTTGCGCCGTCTCTCGGACAGCCAAGACGATACCGACTCCGGCCGCGGAAGCCTACGCTTTTATTCCCTGGACGCTTTCCCTACGCTTTCAACTTCTTGCACCAAAATCCTCAAATAATGATAAGAGTCTTAACTATTTTGTGAGACTAATTATTGGACACATTGATAAAACATACACACATTAAAGTAGTATCATTAATGAGATAGAAGTATGAATGCTTTTACTGCTGATAAGTTTTTCATCAGATTTTATATTTGTGTCTGAAAAAAAGTATTCAATGCTAGATGAATGCAATCAAATCATATTTATATTAAAATTACATCAAATTTTAATTCAACATTGAATAAATTTTCTGTAATAAAAGGACGAAATGGGATTCTCGAATGGAAATTTGAAAATAAATTCTTACTGGTCCTTTGTTTATTATTTTAAACAACAAATCTTTTAAGATAAAATAAGTTTTTGCTACAAAAATTTAAATTAGTTCGTGTATAAATTTCTCAAGGTAGTAAGAAGCGGCTGATGTATTACTTGCCTTCATAAAGTTCACTAATGAATGTCCATGGCGCCAATAGTCCCCACCAGCACAGCTGAGAGATTGTCCGCTGACATTGGAATGTATTGTGTTCTTCAAAGTCTCCCCAAACAAAAGAACCGCATCATGCATCAGCAATGCCTCAGTCTGTAATGCAAAATATGATCTGAATATTAAACACAAAACAAAATACAGTTATTGTTTTTGTCACTTTCATAGATGACATATTAAAAGGTTCTATGAAAAATATTGTGGAAATGTGGATTATTTCTAAAGCTCCCAATGTCATAAAAGTATTTTTTGATTGTTTTATGTAAATCGGAGCAGTAAGTATTTTAATTATAAAAAAAATATTTTGAAAAATTGAATTGTAGAATTAGAGGACAACTGAAATAATGGACTGAGAAATCCCTTACTTGCATTTTATAAATACATATAAGAAACATCAAGAGTTACTTATTCACCGCTACTGTCCTCAGAGTACTTGAAAAGCAATTACAGAAAACTCCTAGAAGACGAGAAACGTAATAAAAAAGTAAAAATTTTGAATTAGTACGTAAATCATTGGCACTATACCAGGAAGACTTCCCCTGCCATGTCCGTGTTTGCGAGAGAGGCATGAACCTCATCCGGATCTATAAGGCGAATCCCCGTGATGTTGCTGCCTCCATAGGAATACGGCATCATGTCGATAGTGTACATGTCCTGCAAAATAGACAGAATGGTTCGATATTTAGTCAAATCATTTACGTTTTAACAAAATGCTCACGAAGTAGCTATTAAAGAACGATTTTGTTTGAAATTTTAATGAGCTTCACCCATTATTTGCTGGATATGATTATTGTACATTGCCTTTTCGTTTAGTAGTAATGATAGCTATATTATAGGAATAGTATTGTTACGATATCAAACCCGACGAAAAACACCCTTCAATAATGGTGAATGAGATTAAGTGCTACCTCTCCTTTCCCGTCGAAATCCTAGGAAGTACGAATTAATAGAGCCTGCAAAGTAGATCCGAAAATGCTAATGCTGAAGTTTTAATTATGCTTAAATGGTGCTATTGGTGATATTCACGCATTAAATAAATTATTTTATTGTGGGTTCGATTTTTGGCGTAGATAAAATAGTAGAACCGAGGAAAACGGTAAAGCGTTTTCTTGTACATTTTTGTACAAACAGGCACTGGTGGAGAAGAAGAGCAATGTAAATTATTGTAATATATCCTAAAAAAACGTGTATTATGAGAAGCATTTACTAAAACTGAAAAATAGTAATATGTCAATTTATGACACCTATCGATCTTGTATTTTTTTCAGAATCATTGGATTACGTAGGCCTCATCCAAATATGAATTTCCATCCTGTCTACTTTTCCTGATCCAGAGAGTAAACACTACCATTATGTTGTTTTGCTTCTTATCTCAAAACATAATTATATAAAAGGTGTTTGGTTAAAATGTGCTACAATACAAAATGTGAATTAATTAAATAGCAGAAATGATATTTCCGAGAGATAGAAGACATTTCTTTGAAAGACAAAATGGTAGCAACCAGGTGCGTAAAACGGCAAAACTGCTTAACAAACCCAATATTCTTTTATAATTTAATTTATCGTGCATTTAAAAACGGAACAACTTTCAAATTTTGTAAATTATTTCGAATAATTACTTACCAAGTTGGATATGATGAATCTGTTCTCGGCCACCATGAGTCCCACCTGCTGAGCCTGTGTTAATACCTCCGGCAAACGCCGAATGTTGCAATCTATGATGAAGTCTGTATCTCCTGAATTCTTAATCTCCCTCAAAAGTTTCCTGGGAGCAAATGTTTCAATATTTTAGAAAATCTAATTTTATCAATTTTCAATCTTTTTGGGGGGTAAAATCACAATGGGGGGATAAAATGCACTCGCGGAAAAAAAGTATTGCAACACCAGGAAGTGCACGAACAATCAAGAAGGCGATAAGAGACGTTAGGGATACAGGGTCGTAGAAGCCGTTATTAACATTTCACGGATGACTGACAGATACAACGTTCGTTCGTCTTTGAAGTGGTGGAGGGATCATTGAATAGCGCCGGATACACCCAGCACGTTGTGGACCTGTGCTGATATCTTTCGTGCAACGGGAGGGTAATACGCTGTTCCAGCAGGACAACGCCCGCCCTCTCACCGCCCGCGCTACGCCACACGCTCCCCGCGATGTTCGTCAACTGCCCTGGCCCGCACGCTCGCCGGATTTGCCTCCGATCAAGCATGGGACATGATGGGCCAACGCCTGACCCGTGCTGCGACTCCCTCAATAACTCTTCCTGTTCTGCATGAGGCGGTACAGGAGGCGTGGAACCGTGTACCGTAGGATACTATTACGTAGGCCACCTGTACGAAGAAGTGGCAGCCCGCATTAGGGCTTGTCGTACTGCGCGCGGCGGGTAGGCGCAGTACCGATGTGGCGTTTCCGGTCTAGGGTTCTCTCTGTTGCTGGACGTGCGAGTCTCACATGCCTCTGCTCATGTAATCATGTGTAATATTCTGCCTGTATGTGATGCATTTGTATTGAGAAATAAATTGTAGATTGTAATCGGGGTGTTTGAAATACTTTCTCCGCCAGTGTAGTTGTGTAGCTAGTTTATAATGTTGAATGTTTTTAAATGAATAATTATCTCGTAATGTCTTATTCAGGCGATCCTTAGATCCACTCAGCAACCTTTTCAAACGAGTAGTAGTAGTATAGCGGGTTATATTACACCATAGGGTGACTCTCGCATCCCAGCCTCCACATCTCTCTAACGGTGTAGTCTTCATTACTTAATCCTCTCTTCTCCATTGCCTTATCCACTCCCTCCCACCATGTAATTCTAGGTCTTCCTCTGGGTGGGTTTCTGGTTGCCATTTCCACAATATTTTCGGCCACCACTCTTTGTTCATTCTTTGCACGTGCCCATACCCTTTTTTCACTTTAATGGTGTCAGTTATATTAAAACTCACTTCCGCTTTACATTTAATTTCTTCATTCTTAACTTTATCCATTAATATCAGTCCGCAATTTTGGCGCCAGAATTCCATTTACATTGCTTTCAATTTCTTTTCGCTCTTTTTTGTTATTTCCCATACCTCAGATCCATAAAGAGTAATATTCTCTACAACAGTCTTATATAATTTTCTTTTTACACTCTTACTTAATTTATCTTTCCATATCAGTGGATGTAATTGTCTTATAGTCACTCTACCTTTTACAATTCTGTTTATAATATCTTGCGCACTGCGTTTATTTATGAACCGAGGTATACGAATTTTTGATAGGGTTTTACTTCCGAACCATCATTCAGTTTCAGACCTTTAGCACTTCGTCCTATTACCATATACTCAGTCTTGTTAAAGTTTATTTCTAAACCCTATTCCGAGAACTTTTCATATCATTTTCGCAGCATGTATAGAGCATTGTCTTCATCTTCAGCGAACACCACCTGACCATCTGCGAAATGTAGGGAGTCACCAATTTTAATACCCATATTACGACATTTTACATTTCTTCCTCCATCTTCTCAGGGCTTCATTCAAATATATTTTAAACAAAGTCGGGGCTACACAGCACCCCTGTCGTAAACTTTTATTTACTGGAAATGGTGCTGAAATATTTCTCTCTACTTTTATTTGGCTCGTATTATCACTCACATCAATCTTTAAGGGTATTTACATTTTGTTTCTCCCGTCATCCATAGCCTAGATAATGGAAGTGTCGTAGGCCTTACGCAGATCGATAAAAATAAGGTGCGTCTCCAAGTTATAGGCGAGACGTTTGTCGGTTTCAAACGAGTACCAATATTTACTTTCTCGATTAACTGTAAATATGCTGTTAAAGCATGGCGCTTGCCACGTAATTTTCTCTCTTCTTTCGGAAATTAGATCTACAGATCGAAACGTTTTGAGAAGGGAAGGAAAAGAAAAACAATCTTACATTAACAAACCACAACAGTAAATGAAATGATTGTCAGTACCCGATGTACAATGAAAACATAGTAACATTCTAACGTAATCTAATAAATTTAGACTGATTCCGTATGGATTGAAGAAATAACAGTTCCAGATTCATTTTTTAGGGTACCTTTCGGATACCTGGTGTGTATCGAAGAAACCAGGGAACCACAGACTACAGTCTAATCTAATTTTTTAAACTCAAATTAATAACAGGAAAACTACTTTTTTAGAACTATGTAAACCGCCGGAGGTGTAGTTTTTTAATATTATTGTTATTAATAATATTAATAGACATCATGGAAGGTAGCTTGCCTGTTGTCGTGGTCCTCCGAGAGGCGCCGTAAGGTGATGGTGTAGAGCTTGTGGCTGACGGGCTTCTTGTGGCTTTCCTGCATCACCTGATGCACGCTGAGGAGCGGCGTGACTCGCGTCAAGCCGTCGTCGTCTTCGTAGATGATGGTGAACGAGCGCCATTTGAACGCGATCACTATGTCGACCAGCACCTGAGGCAATAAACAGGCCTGTTGTAGGGGCGCGTCAAGTAGGTGGGTGATTTCGAGGAAAAAAACCATTCAAAAGAACTAGGAGTAGATTAAATTTTGAACTTTTGAACCGTGAAAATGATTGAAAATTATTTCCACAGCCTAGATAATGGGGCAGTGTCGTAAGCCTTATGCAAATCGATAAAAACAAGATGCGTCTCCAAGTTATGGGTCTCCAAGGGTGTCCAAGTTATGGGTTCTCAAGGTGCGTCTCCAAGATACCATATTTTATATGATAATATAAAATGTATATAATTAATGTATGTAATATTGTATAATGTTATAAGTTGTGTAATATTATAAGTTATATATTTAGATACTTAAAATATTTTTTTCGTTACCGTGAATAGTGCGATGATTTTTCAATGTCAATATGTAAGAAAACTGTGTATGAACTGAAATAAATTATTTCACTTTCTGCGAATAATGATCTAGAGAATTGAAAAAGGTGAGAGTTATTTTCTCTTAGTTATAATGAACCATACTATAGGCGGTTAAATTTACATTTGTTTCATAGCTACTGACAAACTTTGACAGCGAAAAAGGCTGTGTTGGCTCAGAGCCAGCATTATCGTTGTCTCTGCAGCAGTTGTGACTGGGATGTTCTACGGTTTGAGACCCGCCGGTGGCGGATTTTCAACAGTGTACAGACTGATTTCAGCAACTGTCTGGAGGATAATTTTATCGAACGGCTGTTTTGATAGGTAGTTTTCCATGTTTTTCCGATCAACAACAGGCGTATGCTAGAGAAGCATCTTAAGGAACAGGCTACGAACCGCACACGATCTTTGTTTTCCTTTTCTTTTCACATCCTCTCCCCCTTACTCATACACACACACACACATGTTTAGCGCCACCACATACGTCGAGAGCTTTAAGCTTGCTTGAATGTTGCAATGTACCTCTGGGTGAGATACCTGGAAAGGAAAAACCCCGCAAGTCGACATGCAGGTCGGCAATGGATCTCACCATCCGGGAAGGGGGAAGACGTCCCTATCTCAAGTGATATAACATTCACTACACTAACGAGTCTAATGATCATTACTGTTGGATACCATATCACTTGTCAGCAACATTTGAATTGAAAACCTGTATAAAAATATTTCATCAGGAATTATTGATGCAGAAGTAGACACTTATCAGCTCAATGTGTTTCGGGAAATTTATTCCTGTAGCTTCTGATGATACGTACAACACTAAACTCTTACAATTGACAACGATATTAAAAGGTACCAATCACGCCTGGTAAGTGAAAGCACATATCTGTATGCGGCAAAGAACGAAAGAGGCATCGGACCGTTAGAAACCAAGGTGGAAGGGGATATTTGGGCGGTTGACATCACAAATAAACTACTGAAGAGCCGCGACCGAATGGTGCGCGCGCGCGCGTGAGAGAGAGAGAGAGAGAGAGAGAGAGAGAGAGAGAGAGAGAGAGAGAGAGAGAGGGTGAGAGAGTGGGAGGGAGACTGAGATCACGCGTGCATTGCGAAATACCTGTTATGCCTGCCGATCATTTTTTTTTCTTCATTTTTCGCTGGTTCAGAAAAGAGACAGACCAGACTGGATTTCATTTGTACGATAAAATGACGCTTGCTTTATTTTTCGGTACAGATTTCATTCAGTTTGACTACCGCGCTCCTGGCCTCACTTTTCGGAACTTCCTCTGGTTAGTCTGGTTAGTTATGCGTGTGGTGCGATTTGTTCATTTGGACAGTTTGGAGAGCGTTCTAATATGTTGAATTGCAATGTGGAGTGATTATGTAGTGAGAAATAAATTATGTACTGTGTTCTAATGTCATCACATATCATCCTCAGTCCTAAAATACCCTGACTTAATTAGTTACCATAGATGCGATGTTCAAATGTTTGATCTTTAGGGCTTTTTGCATTTTCATTTCGATTAAACAGTACAAAGAGCAGAAATGTGGGTGTAAAATTCTGGAACCACTTTCATCCAGTTTAGGAACCGAAACATAACGCGTAGAAATGAACATCCTTTTCTTATCTACTTTCTGTACAGAGAAATGATGAAAAACGGATGAAAAAATTACCGTGTAAAAAGGCTTTAAAGAAGATGGTTCATTGCGAACGGGTAAATGTGGGAGTCGGAAATGTTTATGCCTCTTTAAATGGCACACTCCTAGTCCCAGGCGCGTCGTTCTTCAACCGAGCACATGAAGCAGCGGGAAGGCTCCGCGACGAATTCGAAATACGACGAGAACCTCCACCACATCAGACTCCCGGAAGTAGCCACAGGTAAACCTCTTCGACACCACAGTCGACGCGAACTTGTGGGAACGCGAGACGAGCAAATCAAGGAATAAGGGTGATGACGTAAAGGAGGCAGGCGGGAAGGGGTACGTCGGAGCAGAGGAAGAGATGATCCTCGGTGATTATGCTGAGGTAGACGGTCATGCCGGTCTGGAACTCGGCGATCTTTTCCACGCCGATAACGCGACTCCGCATACCCCTCCCGGATTTAATTTGCACGATAAAAGGACGCATGCTTCATTTTTCGGTACAGATTTCATTCAGTTTGACTACCGCGCTCCTGGCGTCACTTTTTGGAACTTCCTCTGGTTTGTTATCCGTGTGGTGCAATTTGTTTATTTAGACAGTTTCGAGAGCGATGCAGCCACGCCGAGAGCAACGCCTCAGGACGAGAGAGCGCGGGGACTCCCACACTGCGGGTGGGTTCATTGGTATAACGGTTGGTGTATCGGGCTGTTGTACGCACGTTTGCAGGTTAAAACTTGATCGAAGCAGTGGGTAAAACATTCTACGTACGATTTCCTGCAGAGAGGAAGTAATGCCGTCTGTCCCATGCTGTAGATAAACTACATGTGATAGATCTTCAAGTCAAAAGAAGCCTCTGAGCTTAATTCAAGTCACCTGTTTCGTCGCCCGAGTGATACCTTCTTTATCTGCTAGGTGAAAGATGCGTAACAAAATTTGCGTGGTCAGACAGAAGAGCGGACCCCATGGTCCGAGTCTTGTCACGTAAGATCCTTACTAACTCCCCAGATCAGCTGACCAGCGCCCACCTGAACCCTCCCTCCGCCAGTATTGCCCCGGAACTGACAACGCGCGTAGGAAGCCGTCTGGGCGGATAGTGCGTGGATAGTGCCCGGGCCGGCCGAGCTCACACACCCACCATCTCCTGCCGGCAGCAACGCCTCGGAGCTGGCTGAGCAGACCGGACGAGTCTGGGCCGGCAAACCACTCTCCCTTCCGAGCGGGCCGCGCCGAGGAGGGACGAAGCAGTGAGCCAATGCAAGCTCTTGAGAAGTTGGCGTCCGCATACCAAAAGACGGCAACTATGACTCGGGCGGGAGATCACAGAGAGGGGGTGGGGGTGTTTCTTTTCTACTCCGAACTGATGCGATGACAACGCCCTCTCAATTGGCGGAGCAGAAATTCATGATATAGCCCTCTCCAAGACTGAGCAGGAAGGAGACGTCGGCGACAATGCGGTCCAAATAATAAATGTACGAACCACCACTTGCTCGTCCATCGCCTCCGTTGTCTTTTCTAACTGGTGCTTGCGAGCTTTAACCGAACAAACGCAGCAATGCATCTTTGCGACTGTCCTACAAGGGGTGGGCACATAATTTAAACACGTCCTTGAGTTGGGAATGAATGTGACGCCACCGACCTATAAGTTTATTCATGTCATGACTTCTCAATCCTTAATCGAATTGAATTGAATTTGCCTTAATTTACGTGGCGAGACTCGGGCCATCAGGCTCGCTCTTCCGTCTGACTACGCAAATTTCGCTACGCTCCTTTCACCAACTAGCACAGAAAGGAAGTATTTCTTGGGCGAGGAAGAGGCGATTAGAATTTAGCTCAGAGGCGTCATTTAGGCTTGAGGATCTTTTACATGCAAGTAAATCTACTAACATGGGACAGCCGGCTTCGAAGGAAGGATTTTTTCGCTCTTAAAAATCCACGTCTTCGATCGGGTTTGAACACGGCTTCGATCCGGTTTGAACCTTCCAACTTAGGCACAACAGTCCGATACGCTAACCGTTACACCATCGCCGCCGCCACCCTCCTAATCCCTTAATCCCACCGGCGCGGCTACAAAAGAACCTGCTACCGCAGTTATACGCATGAAGGCGGGTCTTCCGCGCCGGTCTGCGGGAGCCTGTAGAGCTCCCAGGGCGCGCTGCAGCACTGACCTGGCCGAGGGCGCTGGGGTGCGGGAACAGGTTGACGAGGATGTCCGTGCGCCGCTGGTAGGCGTCGAAGCGCGTCTGCACGTGGGGAATGTCCATGGTGTCACACATGGACTGCACTATTGAGGAGCCCTGTGATTTCTGGGGGCCGAATACCGCCCACACGCCCGTCGAAACAAGTTTGCACACTACAAAAGGGATGAATATCAGCTTGCAAATCAGTGAACACACCATCACAAAAAATAAAACTTATAGATTTGTTCACATTAAGTACATTCAGACACATACTCAGTAGTGTTTGGCGACGAGGCCTCGTATGGATCGAATATGATATCCTTTTGTCAGTTAATATGTGAAAAATCTCATATAACAAAATTACTCCTATGGCATTTGCCCCTGATTGGGAGATAACTCATCGTGTACTGGTGTTTGATATGCAAACGTTATGACGCAGTAGAAGGTATTTCGAGTACTGATTATCTTTGTTCACACTGTTGCTCTAAAAGTTTTTTAAAAACATTTATTATAGTATTACTTTATTTATATATTTATTTATATAATTTAATTGATATAATTAATTATATATTATATTAATTTACTAAAAGAGTACTGCCACGAATTGTGTGCATGTACAAATGCGAGACTTTGTTTCTCAAGAAGGCACAGCTGCAAAAAAAATAATAATGCCAAATTCCAAAGGAATTCCTTACAATTTTGGCCTACCAAAACACATGAAATAGAAAATGAAATTAAGAAATAAAAAGAAAATATAAACGTGGAAGAAAAATTACTAAAAAAGATTAAATATAGTATATAAATAAAGTAAAGTACTTTGAAAAGTGAATGTCTGTGGAAATATACTACACATTTGAAATTTACTTAAATAAATCTTTCAGAGGTAATCAATATTTAAATAAAAATTAAACAAATAAGTGCGCGCAAACCATTGTTTGAACTTAGCAAGATCAAACCAGGTGCAAGGAAATGCCATATAAGATTTTACGACCATGGGCTTTAAGTATGGGAGAATATACTTGCAATAGAAGGAACAGAAAATATTACAGCACCATTTAAAAAGAAGGGCAGGTACAAATGTTACTATTGTTGAATCTTCTATTAAAATGATTACGTAGTTTCTATTCCCGTGTGGAAAATAATTAAATTTTGGAATCATAGTGGATCTGAGTATTCCCCGAAGCTTTGGAACTTCGTGTGGTAGCGTCACAGTTGCTGGAGTTTCTCTACTCTTGGCTCGGGTCCCTCATGCAGAGGGCAAACCAAGCAAAGCGTTCCAAAGATTGTCCTCCCTCGTATCGTAGAAGTGGACCAGTCCACTCGAATGACGTAGAAGCTCAAGACGAATGAGAGTTTACCATGAGTAAAAATATAGAAAAAAATAACCTTAAAAATAAATATTTGATGACCTTCAACACCTTTTTCGATTTGTAGCCTCTCACTTAGGCATAATTTATTGTCGAGAGAGATCCTCAGCTGGCATTTTGCCTCAAGAGATTTACTGGAAGAGAAGATACTTAAGTTTCATTTGTCTTTTCTAATGCATTCTCAAATAAGGAAGTTATTGTTACTGAGAAATCATTGTGTTTAACCATTAAACTCGGTATAAATATCCGCCAAATTAATACGTACCTTCTAAGGACACAAGTAGCTGGCTATCACCTCGAACTGGTTCAGTTCCAGGAATTATGTTAAACATATTGTTGGTGTCACTTACATTTTTTACACCATGTAAAAACATAGTTTCTTCTTGTGACTTGAAATCATCGAACAAAGCGCCTGTGAAAGAAAGAGAAAATTATTTACCTGTACCTTAATCTTTAGTTTTCTTACTCTTTATTAATAAAATATACAAGGTTTTTACGGAAATTTCACAAAGATTTTTGTTAAAAATATGTGTACTTAATGTATGAAGTCAGTTGGTCCCCTGCGAAAATTCTCAGTCTCGTAAATCATTATTTTTAAAATTAAAATAGTTTCACATTGAAACCAAACTTCAAACAGTCAAGCTAAAATTCTAATTAATGAAAATTTTTGTGTTAGATAGATTTCGAGATATTGCATGTGTCTGGCAATTCATACTCCAGATTAAAGGAATCTGGAAGAGCTAAATTTACACAAATATAACAAAAAAAAACTAGTGGTGCTACAACAGTGTATACTTTCGTGAATGATTGGAAACGGTTATGTAAAATTATATTGCAACTCGCATCCTTCTAACTTTTCAGCCATTACCTTAAAAACTCAATCGACACAACTCAGAATTACGTAAAAATTAAAAACATATTAGAACAGCGTAAGTGACATTATTTTTTAAAGATTTAATTTTGCCTATTAGATATTATTAAGAAACTAGTGGTTCTACAACACCTACTTTCTTGCATCATTTTTAACTTTTACAATATTCAAAAATACAACGAAAATATCACTTTCTCGGTTTTTACAAGTATGCTTCACACTATTCGAGAAAGTAATTTTAAGGAATAATTGGAGCTGATTTTAAGAAAATCTTGTTCTTAAAATTGCCTTTATTTCGTGCAAAGCTAAGCAAAGCAAAAAGACTAACATTTTCAAAACCTTGTGCATGACTTTATTTAATGATCGAATTTTGAAGAACACATTTTGTGTTTTTGTAAAAAAGACTAGAAACAGTTTAGTTGCTAGCGTTGTACAGAGATATACCTTTTCCCGTGAACAAATGCTTCGGAATCAAGGACTAACAAAACGTGTATGTTGACTACATAATTGAATTAGAGGAATTAAGAACAAGAATTATTTTCATTTTTAGTATCAAGAAGATGCTGTTACTTTTTTTCTATGTACAAATTGCCATTATTTGCTGCTGAATTACATAACTACGTACGGTGGTAGAAATTAACATAAACGTGCTAATGTTATCAAAAGAAAATACTTCATTGTTAGACTATTATATAAACTTTTGAACATACCAGTACGGTTCGCTGAATATCAGATATGTTTTGTTGTATTTCTTAAAAAAAAAATAGATTTTCATTTTTCACATCATTTTTTTCATCCTATAACGTTACGTTAGAATACGTTAGAAAGTTCTGTAAAGGGATCCAGAGCTTGGAAACGATCATTTCACATTTTTTTTGTAATTTATTGTAAAAATCGACACTTTTGCATGTTTGAAAAATGGGCTTCTAATATTGGATGAGAGGTGCGCCTAGGCAAATAAGCAGTGAAAACAATAAAATTGCATTTAGTAGATCAATAAGAGTTATTTTACTAAATGTGTAGATGAGATAAGAAGAGTGACGTGACTCTACATAAGCTTTACCGGTAAGTTTGTCAATTTGATAACAGGTTAATGCTCTATAAAGATTGTTAGAAACCAGGTTTCAACTTCTTGAGGATAGTAAAATTTGAATGGGCTTATAAATAATTCATCACTATATTTATAAAAATATTAAAAATTACAATAATAATACCCTAATATTAGATATCTGATATTAGGATCCCTCAAATACCCGATATTGGGAGCCGTATGGTTATTTCATTACGAACTACATAACTTAAATAGTAAGAGATTTAACCGAACAAGTGGATTCTAGTTTCAAACTAATATTCTTCCCTAATTTTATAACGTACAATATTAGTAAAAATGCTTGGTAAAAAATTGATTTTAGGAAGCGAACAGAAAAAAGACTGCAGAATATTTTCGATTACAAAATCACAAAATAATTTTAACTGACACGTTTCTGGCGCGAAGACTATATCAATTCCACTGTGTAATGGATGTTGGGAAAGGTAGTAGTTGGCATGGATGCTGCTTGGTTGCAACTCACCACAGAGCTGAAAACTTGATATCTGATATTCGGCTACCTTCCCCTACTTTGTGTCACGTAAAATACATTTTTGCGAAAATAATAAGAAAACAAATATATAGTGTTTTTGTGAAATAAAACAAAATAAAACTGAAAATGAAGAAATCTAAAAATTGATTTTTACTATTCATTATGAAAATAGTTAAGAAACTTTTTCCTACTGATGTATAATATTTTGTAGAACCTGCATTGTTCGTGTCGACCATGAAAATTCATTTCGGCATGGATTTGATTAGTATACATGTCAATGGATATTGCTGACCATTGCAAACGAATCGCAATTTTCAACTCAGCTAGTCTCGAATTGCCTCTCATTGCCATACATACGGCTTGCTGGAAGTCCCCATAGAGTTTCCATAGTGATTAAGGCAGGACTTCTAGCTGGACACCATAAAACTGGGTACCCTTTCTCTTGAAACCATAGTATTGACTTTTCCAGGTTCGTGAATGGCAGCATTGTCGTGTAAAAATATCGTATCATCGCCATATTCTTCATACATGATAAAAAGCTCACAATTAAGCATCTCTATGTATTTCTCAGAGTTCAATCGTGGGTTCAGTATTTCATTTACCTATAGAAAGCTGCTCAGATCTTGACACTTCCGCCTCTGAAATTTCTAGTCATCCTGATATGATTTTTCAATGGATCATGCCAGTAACATTAAAAACCATCAGGACTTTATTAAATTTATTTTCATCATTGAAAATTAATTCATCCCTCTGTAAAGTCCAACACAGATGATATCCAGAAACTTTTTATCTAGCCTTCTTGTGGACTTGGGTAGAGGTTGTGTTCTCAGTCGTTTTTTGTAACTGTGATTATGGTCATCTGCCTGTATCTAACTCGCCTGGTAATTCCAAAACACTATTTGAGAAGATTTCAAGTTATAGATTATTCTTCTTGAAAAATTAATCGTTTGTTGCCCTCGGAGTGCTTTTTCTCAATATATTTCCCGTTGCTGTTATACCGGACACCCAATTTGACTTAATTATAAATAATACAGCTCGATCGCTATAATTTCTTACCAATTTTAGGTTTGGAGAATCTGATACCTTTATATGCACAAATTCTTCCGTTCTCTTCCTCACACAAACGTTTTTCTCTTAGCATTGTAGAAACAATAACAGAATTTTCCACAATATACAAGTCTCTTTTTCACACAGAAGTAAACAAAACTATAAAGGTGCCAACTGCGGTGTGTCTTTATACTAATTTCCACCTTGAGAGTGTTTCGTTACTCTGTTAAAATTATGCTAACTGACCAGAAGCAATATAGGGTCCAACGATGAGCGTAACAATAGTAGATACTTAAATAAATGATGTGATAATTTCTCAACTCTTCAATTAAATTATGGTTTTCTTCCAAAAAATTACTTTGCCTTTATACTAATTTTTACCACCGTATGTAGTTCGCGAGAAAGTCAAAATTCTTATTTTTAATAATGCAGAGTTATTTAAATATTTTACACCTTTGAAATTTCAAAGGAAGGGGGGATAAGCGATCGGCTGGGTGGGTTGTCGAACGGATGGTCGGGCGGACGGTTGGACGGACGGTTGGACGGACGAGCGAACGGTGTGGTTGACCGACGGGCAGGCGGGTAGGTCGGGCGGGCATATACGTACGTGCGGACGGACAGACGGATGGACTAACACATAATTCAGAACCCGGATATCCAAAATTCTAGTTAATTCGAAGGTTATGTTCAAAAACTTCTAATACATGCAATTTTTAGTGGAAAAGTAATAACAAAACAGTGATTCAAATGTTAATATAATTGATACTCCATTAATAAAAACTACCATTTTAATTACTTCTTTGTTATACCCACTTTTTAGGCGAGTATGCAATTACAAACATAAGTGATCTTTTATAGTATTTTACTTTTTATTGCATTCTCCGGATTCTGCGAATGTTCGAGAATCTGAACAGATTACGGATTGCTTAGTGCGGTTCTGAAGCAATAGAAGAAAATGACTGCTATTGTCGATTTGGAATGAAATGGAAGCTCTCAGGTGAAGATTTTATATACAGTTTTTGGGACATATTCCAAACAATTTCATTTATACACCACGAAGAAAATGGCATTACTGACAAGATTGAAATAATAATTGTTTTTTTGTACACAAGGGATGAGCACTGATCTAAAAATGTGGACTTGGTTTTCAGATAGAAAGAAAAACTGATAAATCCCGGAGCTTAGCTGTTCATGCCACCGTGATTGGTAGACATTGGCAGAAGGTGCCATATCAGACGGAAACTGACGTAACCTACTCATAAATACCTCTTCGAAAAAATAAATTTTTCACTTAATTCAGTAAAAGTTAATTAACAATTTCCTGGTCAGTTCATCAGCAAACTCTTGAATGAGGTAATCATTAAACATAAGTCAATATATTTTCCCATGTGCTTTCACAATTCTGCTGTCACACACGGCAGTTGACAGATTGTGACAAATCTGCAAGTGACGACAGAATTTGAACTGAGATGTAGGAATCATCGAAACAAATATTGCTTCTGCATTTATGAAAGATACGCTTTCCCGCGAGTGAAGAAAACAAAAGTTCCAATTTACGGTAAATATTGTGTATAAAAATCTGCAGCTTTCTGAACCCATTAAAAAAGAAAAAGAAACTTAAAATTATTAATAAACCTTATCTATGAACTCTGATGTTAATTTTTCTTGGTTACAAGAAATGCCCAAACAGGTACTAAAACAGCGAGATTCGTCAAAATAATTTTAGGTATTAAAGATATTTCCGTTACTCTACACCATAGGGAACTCTTGTTGAATTATACCCAGATTTGGTGTTATGAACTGAAGTGGTATGTACTGAGTAAGAGCCCTTTTCGGTAAGTTGTGTATTGTGGCTATTTGTGTGTGAACTGTTGGTCGTTGTTCTGACAATATTTATGTATTGCAGGCACTCCCAAAACTAGCAGTATAATGAATGAGAAGAAAACGACATAAAAATATTACTTGGTGTATCGGAGTTATGTAAAAACGACTCTTTTTTGAAATTCGAGACTATTTACTGTTCAGTACTGCTGACGTATTTCTGGTGATTTCTGGAATATTCATTTCTGTTTATTGTAGGAATATTATGCTGTGGTTTGCATCATGACCAATAATTAATTACTTGTGTGAATTGTTATCAACCTGGTTAACAACTTAGTGTAGATTAATGAGTACTCCTCTTAATGATATTCAAATAATAGTTCTATTTCAGTAACAAACTAACAATAGTTACGTACAGGAAAACAAATTGTGAAAATATTTGCAATCAATTCACAAGATTTACCATTACAACGTTTAAAATTAGCAATATTTAAAACTCCAATATCTCTGTAGGACTCAATCCACATTAAAAAAGAAATGGACGAGGTATTTACTTCACAGTTAAGATGATTCTGAGGTGAATGAGCGTTGGAGGTGATTCTGAGGTGGTGGAGTTTGGCGTGTTTGGATCATCTGACTTCCGGGTGTTAAGAAATGTGGTTCATTTTTTACTGTTTCATGTTATATTTTAAAGCTTATTTTGTATGAGTGTCTGTTCAAAAAATAGTATCCTTTTTTCAGATTTAGTTGTAGGAGATTTTTTTAAAAGTATGACAATAATACTATAATTTAATAATATACCTATTCTGAGTTAATATACTTAATAACTGAGAATAATTTATTCTAGTTTCCGCAGATATAATGATAATTTTATAAGTAATTCATTACACATTTTATTACAATAACAATATTGAAATACGCTTCCCCAGACTCAATATTCAGGGCATGTTTTCTTGTGTTCATGTCATTAAAACATCGGATCATTAATATTTGCCTTTTATTTCTGAATAAAGATTTCGTAGTAAAAAGTGTCAGCGAGAAATTTTCACGTGAACAAAAATAACCTACATTTCATCCCATATTTCTCAGAAGTTTCTGATGATTTTGAGAAGCAATTAATAAGGTTTATTTTTTTTTATAATTTTATGCAGTATACAACATTTTAAGAATCGTAATAATAATTTTTCTATTGAAATAGCGTCATGAGCAACATGTATTTCATTGCACGCACAACAATGACGCCAAACAAATCTGTTGACGTCCAGTCACGTGATCGCGCATTCCGCAAGTCGTCCTCCATTTTCTGCGGCTGACGGCGTGTCCTCATTGCGGGATACTCACCGATGGGCACGTTCTTCGGGAAGTCGTGGAAGGCGGCCGCGGCCGGCCGCAGGGAAGCGAGCAGCCCGGCGCACAGCAGCACCCAAGGCGCGGCGGGGGCGCGCATGGCGGCGGCCGAGGGGCGGCGGTGGCCCCGAGCACACGACGGCGTTGTCCGCGGACCAGCGCCGCGGGCGGACTGGCGGCCGGCGACGGTGGCGCCAGCCGCCGCCAGCGGTGGCGGCGGGGATGGCAGCGGTGACAGTGGCTGAGGAGACGGTGGCAGCGGTGGTGGTGATGACTATTATAGCAGCTTTGGTCGAGGAGGCGGCGGTAGAAGCCGGTTGTGGTGACGGCTATGGCAGCGGGCCGCCACAAGGCTCGCACTGGGTGGCGGCGACGCCCAGTGGCGGAGACGGCGGCGGCGCCGATCACAGCGTTGGCAGCGCGCCGCGCGTTATTTTGGGCAGTCCAACACGCCGCGGCCGCCGCCATCGCGGCGTCAGCTCCGACGCCAACTGTGCGGGTGCGCCTGCGCCGTCAAATGTTGACGACGGCGACGGCGACGGGCAGCGTTAGGCGTAGTAGCACTTCCCCTCCCCGTGAATTCTGGGTATCGGGTCTTGGTCATTCTCCGTGAACGGGGAAAAAAGACTTAAGTGGAAACGTCAGAATTTTCAAAGCTAGCAGACACTTTCTGTCCCATTTCTTTTGCAATTTCTTTTTACTCGCGTCCTTGACTCCTACTTTTAATTATTAGATTATATATTTGAAGTTTAGGTGTACTTCTAATGTACCAATAGTGAATGTAGTTGTATTTCTCAGTATCAATATGAAGCTCCTCGAATCTTACTACTTTGTGAAAATGCCAATTAAATTCTTATTGGCAGCTCGTTCAGTTTATAGGGATTGCGAGACGAAATGATTAAAGAGTAGGGGAATAGATTTAAATTGAATTTAAAAAATGGGGATTTAATATTAAATATTCGCAGGTTAGGTGAAACATTTATGATGAGAGTGGTTATGGAGGTTAAGAACAGCAGTTTATCTGCAATCGACTTATATACAAATTTTAGAACGCTTTAAATTTAATAAGAATAAAAATTATCATTAAGAAAAAATGAAAACAATCTATCCTATCGTAAATACTTCCTGACTGGTAAAAGTATTTGTCAATTATTTCAATGATGTTTTAGTTTTGGCTCTCGCAAAAACCACTCTCTTGTACTTTGCAGTTTAGATTCCATGTTCTTTGGGTATTATTTCTAATGAATTATTAAGCTGCGTCATCACACCGTTTAAAAAACACTGGTCAACAAGATTGACGTATTCAAATGAACGCATTTTGAGCCACCATTCAGTGAACGAGTGATAAGGAAGAGAACCATTGGTTTACAGGACAATTTCTGTAATTTTATGAGCATATTCGTTTGAAAACAGTAGTAAGTGCCGCTTTCCAAAATGTTTTGGTTGTACATTAATAAGAGCTTTGGAGAATGAAACGAATTGTCAGTGTAATTCAAAACCCAATGGTCGATATCTACCTTCGTCTTCCTTTAAACTCGTTGGAGCATCCTGTTTACAAGAGGGGCTGCAAGACAGAGGCTTTGAGTGGTGGGGAGAAGGACGGCGGCGGAAGTGGACGTGGTAGACTAAAGAGGAGCACTTGAAGTGTTGACTAATAATTGATGAATGAACAAATTAAATAATAAATAATAAAATAATTTAATGTGTTTTAATCCGGATATTTTATAATTTTTTCTTCAATGCATCGTTAGCAACAAAATCAATTTTGAAAAAAGTAGAACCCATATTCTCATCTTCCATTTCTAAGTTAATGTCTAGAATTTTAGTTAATATTTTTAACAATGACAGAAACGTTTGTTATAAGTAATTCAAACCGTAGTTATTTGAATTTGCACTTAAGATTTTAAATATGTTTATTGAATATTCAAGAATACGATAAAATATATTACACTTTAATTTTTGTTTTGGATATGTGTGTTGTGATCACTAAGAGTTTCTTCAACTTGAATTTAATCAGATCTCTCTATAGCATTCTCGAACTTTACACTATACACCCAACGAAAAATCTGTCTTAATGTTTTTATTTCAATTTGTTTAAAATGAGTGCAAATGAACTATATTGTGAATCAATTTTATCACCAATATCGATATAACAAGTTACTTGATAATTGAGAGCACGTTTGAATATTTAAAAAATATAATGTATTGTAATGAAATTCATCACTTGAAACGAAAGATTTGGAAATTTTTTGTAATGAATAGAAGTTAATTTTAGTTTGTTTATTAATATCATAAACACATTAAACATTAAATTTTAAAGTGAAGTTCACTCAGATAATAAATAGGATTGACTAAGAATAATTTAACCACACAATATATTTTTCTAAGCAAAACATTCAGTCTAAATGTGTTCCGCAAGTTTAGTTTCACTTTCATAATTGTATCGGTTCAACATTCCTATTTTCCCTTGTTTGCATATTTATAATTCGTTGATAATTTATAACTCGTTCTATAATGGTAGATGTATTAAAGTGATGAAAAAATAAATTATGTATCTTTTTAGCAGTATAAATGATGGACTAATCTTTGGAAATAACATCACTTATCTTTCACATCAGAATAGCAGTTTCTTCTCTATTTTTCGAAGGTTTGAAGCCAGGTGCAATATTGTTCTATTAAATTAGGAGTAAGGTTTTGATTACGCTATTTTTCAAGTTTGTAGTCATTTTTAATACATGAAGATTTACATTCAGTTTGTGAGTGTTAGGAGAAATGTTGCATTTCACAGCTACCTTGACAATAATGAATAGATATAGGTAACCAAGATCTATCATTCATTTCTACCATATATTAAAATAATTCGAAGAGATCACTGTGTTTACTATGAAATTATCGAAAGTGAGTTAACATGTTAAAGTAACGTTTCAGATCTAGAAAAACACATTCAAGTTAATATATTCTATTTTGAAAATACTTTGTCCATAGGCATAAATTTATATACATTTATACATTAGTAGAAGTACCAGAACTTAATAGTCACATTTCTTAACTCTAATGAAGTATGAGTTAACGTGATTTTACCATGACCTTTTCATTTATTTCAAGCCTTATAATGTACATGTTTTTTCTTATCTTACTCTGACCGTAAACACACTTCCTTTTTCGTCGCATTTTCACCGCGCACTATTTGGAAGTGTTGCCGCGCACAACCTCACACACGTCTTCGTGTTCGTGCTTGCGCGCCAGATCGAACGCACTCTCGCCGCGAAGATTGAACACTGTGGCGTCCGCCCCGTGTTCCAGCAGCATCCGACAGATGGCAGCATGTCCCCAGCGCGCGGCTTCGTGGAGAGCGGTCACGTGCCGCGAGTCCCTCACGTTCACCGTCGCGCCGCTCTCCAGCAGGGCGCGGCAGACGGCGTCGTGGCCCCGCACGGCCGCGTCGTGCAGCGGCGTGCGCCCCACGGAGTCCTTCGCGTCCTTGTCGGCCCCGCGCGCCAGGAACAGGCAGCACACGGCGTCGTGGCCCTCTTGCGCCGTCCTGTGCAAGGGCGTGTCGCCGTTTTTGTCCGCTTTGTTCACGGAGGCCCCGTTCTGCAGCAAGAGCTCGCACACGTCTTTGAGTCCTTCCTGCGCGGCCACGTGGAGCGGCGTGTCGCCGCGGTTCTTCTCGCTGGCGTTCACGCAGAAGCCGGAACGAATCAGCATCGCCATGACCTGGCGGCTGCCTTGGAACGCAGCGCGATGCATGAAGTTTTCGCCGCGCAGTTTCTGGACGAAGATGGGCCCGCCTTTCTTCACGAAGATCTTGGCGATTTCCGCGTAGTCCTTTCGGAAGGCGTAGTCCAGCAGGTTTTCTTGCTTGATGATGTTGACCGCGTCGCGCGTTTTGGCGCGGAAGCTTAGCAGTTGTTCGGCCACTGTGAGTTGAGGGAGCGCGTCTTTCTTCAGGGACAGCCAATCCCATTTGCCGGAAGGGAAACGCAAAATGGCGTCTGCGTAGCGAAGAGGCGTCCAGCCCAGGACGCTGTCCCGCAGGTTCGCGTCCCCACCAGCCTCTAGGATCACGCGGACAATTTGCTGGTGGCCGCAGATGGCCGCGAGATGGAGGGCGCGTCGCCCTCCGCGATCCTCCTCGTTAACCTTTTCGGGGTGGATGAGAACCGCGCGCACTGCTGTCAGACGGCCGGCAAGAGCCGCTTCGTGCAGGGTACGCCCTTCGGCCATGAGAGCGTCGAAGAAGTAACGAACTTCCCCGAAATCACCGTCGTACAAAGCTTGAGTCAAGTCAGAAAGTGACTTATATTTTCCGAGTAACCACTGTGCTGCCAGATACTCGGTAATCGAACGATGAACAAACGTGGGCTTGCCGTCTATGAAGTCAGATATGATGCCCTTTTTTAGCATTTTCTCCTTTTCAAATTCACTTTCTAGTTCATTCACTGCTTTCTTGGCTTTTTCATAGTTTTCTCCCAGCAACTTTTTGTCATTGAAACAATCTAAAACCGCGTACAGCATATGCTTCTCTAACACCTCATCTTCTGAAGAAATGCCTAAATTCACTCTGTCCTCTTCCGCGATGCCTACCTTATCCCAAACCACACAGAGAGTTTTTAACACAAACTTCTTGTACAGGGCGAGTCGATTGATGCAAGAGGGGAGATCAACCCTGTGGTCGCCGATTAACGGTAAGAGTTCGTCCCCCTCGTACGCCTTTGCCAACATACAGGTGTAGAGAGGCACGTCACAAAGGCTATGATCACCACTGCTTGTCACTTGACGCACAACGTTCACCAGGACTCCGATTCGCGACTCGAGCTCTTTCTGGTCGATGTCTTTGAAACTGTTCTTCCAGTGAAGCATCAGATAGCGCTGCTGGTCCCGGGGCGTGAAGGGACGTAGGGTGAGCGGTGCGGCGCACTTGAGCGTCTGAGCGAGGTCTTCCTCCAGCATCGTCCTCGCGGCCACCCACAACCGACCGCCTCGCGTGTGCAGCGTGCTCTGCAGGAGTTTCAGGATATTCAACGCTTTCTCTTTGTGCACCGGACACACCTCGTCTACGCCATCGATGAGAACGTCCATGCTGCCGGTATTGTTGAAGCATTCTTCCAAGAATTTGGTAGATGTTTCGACAAAAGAGCTTTGCTTTGAGACGTTGGACCGTCTTAGTAATTCAAACACGTGATGAAGCTCAATTCTTGCAGGTAGTTCGTTCATTATTCTTCCTTCGCTCATTCGAACGACAAGTACCCAATTAGTTTTTCTAGCTTCTTTTATTGCGTGAGCCACTCGAGTAATGAACATGGATTTACCCATTCCCGCAATGTCTGTAAGAAGTATAGTTGAATCTCTCCATTCCAAGAAATCTCGAATGTCGCTGTGTCCGCACACCGGTGAGTCGCGACATTTGGACGTCATTTTGTGAATGTATTTGTGCAAGGCTCTACTATCTCCGTCTGTGCTATTCCATATAATCTCTCCCCTCTCATAAGTTAACCAATGCACATTCATGGTTTTAGATTTCACATCCTTTTTGTCAGAATTCTTTAAAGGGTCCCATTCACGCCACTTGGTCCGCGATGTTCTCTTCCCTATCGCAGCAAGGCGCTGGAGGGTAGTGCATTGAGCTCCAGTTGCTCCCCAGCCTGTCCGGGGCAGCTCACAAGTCGACACCAGAGCTCCGGAAGGAAGACACTCCTGCCACGGGCCGTCTGGGCTGCGGAGTTGATCCAGCAAATCGTCCGGAAAACCGCTCAACAGGAATCGGTCTCGAGCGCTGCGCATATCGAAGATGCTGGGCTGAAGCGCGACTCGGTGCTCGGCTGTGCGCGGAAGAAACAGCGAATCGAGGGGTGGGAGGGGCGCTCCCAAGTCGATGGATTCACCCAACGCCAGCGAACACAGAGCCTCTCCGCTCACTCCTCTCCTCAGCGACGGCCAGACGGGCTCGAGCGACGCCAGTGGCATCTCGTGGCCTTGAAAGCTGACTTTCCTCGCCATGATTTTCCGCTGTTCTTCGGGAGTCGCCAGATCCAGCGTCCAACGTTCCGACCAAGTGTTGCAGCGGGACACGTGGGACGTCAGCAGCGTGAACACTTTTTCATCCCATTGCGATGATATTACTCTCACCTTACACTTCTTCTTAGCAAGAAGTTTGGGGAGAAAATTGCACAAGATGTCTGTGTCTTCCGTACTCAACACAACTTCATCGCAAACCTTGGAACATACGGTCTCGAGGGCTGTCAACGGGTATTCCTTGAACGTAGTATCGGCAAGCAAGACAAATCGTCCATTGTGATTGTCATCCAACAGCTTCCTCAGCACGGCACACCGCAACCGAGAAGATATCCCCGGCACCACGGTGTAAGTCGCCTCCCACTGCCACATCCTCTGCACGAGGGCGCCGTAGAAGCGCGCGTGGAAGAGGAACGGATGGAACTGGCTGTTGACGTCCGCCATGATGATCTGCTCCATTTCGCAGCTGTCCGCCGAGAGGCAGTCGCCGCTGGCGCTGTCCCACCAGCGGTGCAGGAAGAGCGAGTACTGCGCCAAGAGGCGCTCTGCGCGCGCGGAGGGGCCCCCCAGGGCGTCCTCCACGGCACGCGCCAGCAGCGGCTCCAGCGCCGACACCTGCGCCTGCCCGCTCACGATGCGCAGCCGCGGCAGGAACTCGTGCTTGTACGCGTGCTCCTCCGGCGTCCCCTCGAACACGTTCCACACCACCGTGTCCTTTTCGTCGAAAGAGAACGCCTCGCCCTGCCCGGTTTGGAAGACTTCTTCGAACGGGAAGTACAGCGTGCTGGGGCCCCTGGGCGCCTTTTCTGGGTAGATTTCCCGAGGTGTGAGAAGAATCAAGCGGAAATCGTCCTGAAGCCAGTCTCGGAGTTGCAGCTGGTTGCTTTTTAGTTTCGCCACCGGTCCCTGCACGCTCTTCAGGGCTTCTCGGTACTTGGTGAAGTAGTACCGCAGGTTGAAGTCTTTCGTTCGTTGGCATTTCTTCCCGGTGAGATCTTTCTCGCTGACCGGCTTGTCCACGTTCTCCTTGTGTTTGAGCTGCACGAAGTAGGTGAGGGTGCGCTCGCGGCCGTCCTCCGTCCAGTGCAGGCGGAGGACGATGTCGTCGAACGGGTTGGCGCCGTCCACGTTGGTCGCCAACAGGAAGCGCAGGTCGGGCCGCTTCCGGTGCAGCGCGCGCAGGCGAGCAGCCACCAGTCCGGCCACCTTGAACTCGAACACGCCGCCGTCGATGCGCGCGCGGGTGGGGTCTTTGAAGAGCCTGCGGAAGGCGAAACACCACAGTTATTTGAGGGAGAGAGAGAAAAGAGAGAGGGAATGGGAGTAAATGAAATAGAGAAAGAATAAATAAAAGAAAGAGAGGAAATGAGGAAGAAAGAGAGGAAATGAGAGAGAAAGAGAGGAAATGAGAGAGAGTCCATATCGAAGTGCTTTGACTTAAGTCCTTCAAAATATTTCGGACAATGGCATTCATATTAATTAGGCATTAAATGAGTGTAATAAAATATGCGATAATATTTATAAACTGTATGAAAATGTGTGAAAACTACTTGTCAGAATTACATTCAAATGTGAAAATTACTTGTCAGAAAACATGACAAGTAATTGATGAAGTGAACTGATGAAGGCCATTGCGTGCCTGCGGAATTAAGATGATCTAAACAGAATATCGGCCAAATCGCACTGAATGCTTTCATACCCGGACTAAATATTAGTAGAAGTTGTGGGGCTAATAAAAAAATAAGATAATAATACAATTCTACTTCTCTCAGTTTTGTTGTAAAATCAATTATTTGAATTTTATATTCAACTAACATCAGGATCTGTTGAAAATGTATGTTTTTGCACTCCGCTTGAATGTTTTCAAGGATTTTCATTTTATCCTGTCACAATTTAGCTAGGTAACGGTCCGCAATGTAGTAATACAGTGCTGACTTCATGATTTTGTTATCTAGGCAAACAGACTTCATATGTAGATGATTGAGACTCACATTCATTTTGAAGTCTTTTTGAAGTTGGTATATTTGATTTGTTTAACGGTTAGTGATTTTAATAATATTGTGTCATCTTGTTTTCGAGACACATCGTTAGAATTTTGTAGTCACACAACGATCCACTCACGTAATGCCATTTGTTTTATGATTACGTAATTTCTTGTTAGACTCCGGTTTAGCGTTCATTTTATCTTAATATCTTGTTGATAAATACACTTTAAAAGCAAATGCAAAATTCGCATCAGTATCCATGTGTTTGGAGATGTTTACATGTTCGTTGAAATGAAATCTCTAGAGATGAATTAAGATGAAAAGGAAAAAAAAAACACGATGCCTGATATTGAAGTAAAATTTTAGTTAATGATTATTATACGTTTTAAGGAACGCTCACACTTAAACAATCCAGTTTGCATTTACATTTGTGTCTCTTGTGTGGTTTGCACGTAGACTTTTTCTTAACCTCCGTCTGTACGCCATATACACTATGTGATCAGAGCAATTCAATGGTGTTATGGTGTGGTCGTGTTTTCAAGGAGGGGGCTTGCACCCCTTGTTCTTTTGTGTGGCACTCCGTGCAGCACTCCGTGAAGAATGGGCTGCCATTCCCCAAGAAACCTTCCAGCATCTGACTGAAAGTATGTCTGCAAGAGTGGAAGCTGTCATCAAGGCTAAGGGTGGGCCAACACCCATTGAATTCCAGCATTACTGAGGAGGGCGCCACGAACTGACAAGTCTTTTTCAGCCACATACTTTTGAACACTTAATATGCATCGCAATCAATGCGCGTGGACGTTAAGAATATTACCTTTAGGTGTAGAAAGTATCATTGAGGTCGTTTTTCTGATCTTTAATACCAATTTTCCCAAAATATTCTTTTGCCGCAGACGTGTATCACTACGAAGAAAATGCTAGGGGGTTGTTTGCCGCTCATTAAATTACCTCGTTTAAATGATTACTATAATTATTGCAGTCGGGAGCATGTCCCGCCAGGGCCGGTGTCCTGCTAGTGGAGATAACTAGATAGGGAAACACCACAAGCTGACGTGTATGTCAGCTAACGATCTCACCACTCAGTGGGAGAAGAATGCTGCCGCCTCCCGTGATAAGCATGCCCTACACTTCCGGGACTAATTATCATAGCAGTTGATTCGCACGGAAACACAAAATAATCAATCAGTCCAAATGGGATTCGTTGTGGAGAAAGCGGGGCTAGGTAGGTTTCTTCAGTTTCTTCTGTTTATGGGAATGCTGATGTGGTGTTATTGACATAATTAAAGAGTGCAGGTGGGGCGTCATATTTGTCAACTAAAATGTATTCAGAAAGTCAGCTTTCGACGGCGTTGCGTTATTATCAGTCCAGAAATAATATAAATAAAATACAAGAGATTTTTTTAATCTAGAAAATTTTTTAAAAGATATTTTAAAAGATATTTTAAAAGATTTTTAAAACATGTAAAATATTTTTTAAAATATTATACATTTGAATTTATTTAGTATTGGGTAGAAACCGGACTCTTTGAATAGAGCTGAGATGACAACCTCATTTATAGAGCTGCACACAGACTTTTCTCGGGAGGGGGCGCCTAATTGATGTTTTCTTATAAAGAATTTTGAATTTTTGTGATTATAAATTATATTTTTATTTTGACATAGTGTTAATAGTCAATACGTTAACATTTGATAGAATGAATAACTTTCATTTGTATAGAAAATTAGTAAAAGCTATAATTTTGAGCATCTTTGGTTTCTGGGGGAACAGGGCTGAAACCCCGCCCTGGGTGCGCCAATACTCATTCCGCAGTTTGGCAGTTTACACGCTTATCGATTGATTCATTCATTGTTAGTGATTCCGGGCTTGTCAACAGCTTTGGTCATTAGTCACGTAAGTGTAGTGTAGTTCATGATAGTGTAAGCGTGCGTAAGGGGTGAGAATTATGAGGAAGGAAAGATTGCGCGCGGTCCGTGGTCAATTTGTTAGGGCACTGCTCCGTACTTCGCTGGTGTTGATCGGAGAAACCATGGAAAACTACCGATTAGCCGGCCGCTAGAGTATTCTTCCAGCGACTGAATTCGTCCTAGTTGAGAAGCTAGTGTCGAAAATCCTGGTAACGTCGGGACTCGAACCTAGTTCTTCCCGGCAGGGGCTTTGCTGTGACATCAGTTGATGTCGTGAGCCACTTCTTCCGGTTCCATTCTTATTAATTGCAGTCATCATCGTCATTACTACATCTCAACATACAAGCCTTACCCAGACGGCTAAAAGACGGCAGTGTTGCGTTTCTAGTTAGTGAACTACGGCAATTAGGCCACCTCTCAGAAAATTCTTGCCATACGATAAATAAATAACATAATATTATACGAGGTTTGGGGCAGAAGCCATGGCAAATATTTTTTTCTGCAAGAAATGTCATGGGATCAGATAATTTAATTTTCGCGTGAAAGAAATGCTATACCAATGTGTGTTCACAACAATAGATGACTCTGTGTCTCTTTTAGCACAGAGGGAAATGTGAAATCGGTTGTCTGACTGCCGCCATGCGTGATGAATGTAACCCGTTTCGAGCAGCACTCATACACAATGTTAACCGTTTTCTATGGGACAAATGCTCGAGTACGTCACAATTGATGGAATTGATGGAAGCACTTGGGAATATTGCCGTTCTACATCGGACAGTCGCGAGAAGGACATGAGAGTTTCTGCGAGAATGCGTAACATGCGGTGATCAGCAACGCCCATGACGACCTGTGAGTGTGTGGATTGACGGCACGTGCGGTAATCGAGATCTAACTAATCGAACCTTTAGAAAGGGTATGCAATGCTTTTGGAAAGTTGTGAACTTGTATATTCTAAAATGTTTAGGAACATGAAACCAATACTGTCATTACAAATACCTTAATAAATATGTGACACACAATTTTAGTGTATTGTTACATGCTCATTCTTTTAGTTCTTTCATGTGTATGCTTCACATTTTCCAACAATATCGTATTCTCATAAAAAAATATAGTTGTCATGGCTTATGCTCCAACTCTCGAATTATACCAGTTCACAAACAGTGCATGGAAAATACTATGGAAACTGAGCCGAAAAATGGCGCTGTGCACTGCGGATCCAAACTGAATCGTCATTTGTGGACACCAATAAAAAAACACTTACCTTCGGAGCTCCATGGCTGAGGATTCAGCACGGTTGAAGCGGCTTCATACGAACGGCTGCGCTGCATCAGCTCAACGCCCACCGCTTGCCCGTGCAGGGGCCGCCGGCGATAGCTTCGTCGCGCCGCCACCAGGCGACTGCGGTCGCGGAAACCGTTCCGTTTCTGATAAGCACAACGCTGGAAGAAGCAAGCGAAAGGCAGGAAGTGTATGACACACCGGACCTTTCCTACCCCTTCCTCCCTTTCTCTCTCTCAATTAGGTTCATCTATGTCTTCAAAGTACTCTGCCTCTCGAAATTAGTCAGAATCCGGTAACTCATTTCCTGAGAAATACCCAGCACGAGAGCAAAGTCTTTAAATAACTTTTCCTCGATCATATTTTTTCCTTCCTTTCCATTTCCGTAACTTAAATTAGTTTAAGTAAGTGGCAACTAGATTGCATGAAGCAGGATACAGGATTGCAGAAATACTGCTGGGAAATTTAATTAATGATTCTATTTAAAATAACGATGTAAAAAATCATTGCATACTTTTTAAATCATGCGTAAGAATGGATTTTATATTTAGTTTAGGTTATTAATGTAGCCCTTTCAAATATTTCAAGTTAGTTTTCAATCTTTGTTCTCACAAACTTGCAGTTAAAATTATGGATATTTTGTTTCTTGGATTACTAATGCTTGCGCGTTTCTACCAAAATTACTAAGTATTGTTACGGAGGTATGAGTGAAATATAAGGAACTGTGAATAATAAGATTATAAACTACGAGCTTCAATTTTAATGAAATACATATTACGTTATAAGTCGATTTTCATACGATGCCATAATAATGAAACTTTTGGAATCAATCTTCAGAAGGAGAGTAAAAAATTTCGAGTTCGAAAATAAAAATACTGTCTAAGAATGATTACGATGTGTTGTTACTGTATTTTTGCATTTTGAAAGAATCATTATTTTAAAGTATGACATACAACTTTGAATGAAACTAAAGAAACTCTGGAATAACACTGAGGAGGGTGCAATTCAGAAAGTTGTCTTTAAATTGTAATAACGACACATTTCCTTAGCGACTTGGGTTGTATTGTTTCTCACATTTCTAAATCACACATTTGAATCGTGTCTTGTTTTACAATGTAAGTGCCTTCAGATGGTTTCATAAATTGAACATCATTTTGACAAATCACAGATTTTGGAGGTTGCAGGCAAACATGTCAGGTTCCTTCCTTGGACCTATCGTTTTAGATTCACGAATACATACGTATATACGGAATAATAATACGTAGAAATGTGGAAGTATGTAATGCTGTGGTGAAAATATCGGTTATTCGACAGAAAAACAACTTGTGACTCTCTGATACAGTAAAAGAGGATTATTCTTGCTCGTATACGTAGGAAATTACTTTCTATAAAACTACTCGTAGTCAGAATCTACATTGTGTAGATCCATAATACCAATAAAAGCGGATTTTTTTTATAACGTCCCTTCGTCTGTCTGCAAGTCCGTTTGTGAACAACTTTAGTGTCTAAACTATTCAGAATATCTTGCCGAAATAAATACTTCTCGATGACCCTGGTACGAATCGAATAACTGCGATTTTCAAAATAATTTTTAAAACTTTTTGTGTACTTTATAAAAAATCTCCGGAACTTTTTCAAAATTTTCTAGAAATAGCTTCAAATATTTCATAACTTTTCTTTAAAAAATAGACTAAAATCACTTTAAAGATGACAAAGGACACATTTACACGATAAAAATGATTTTTTTAAATATGCAAAAGTTTGACTTTGAACTGTCGCTTACACTACATTTTTTTTCGTGTATAGGCCAACTCGGTCGACGCGTGCATCCTGATACAGCGGATGTAAGTACATTTCTGGGAAGGATCAGCATTTTAGCTGAATCTCTATTTTTATCCCAAAAGCTTGTTAGCCCTGGGGATATGGACGATGATGCTGAGGGATGAAGGGGCGCCACACACATATCGACATACACAAATATACCCATGCCCGAGGCAGGACTCGAACCCGTAATATTCTGATTCAATCTCGGCATCTGACCGGCTTTCATCTGTATTATTGAATACAGAGATTTTTTTCAATTGAAATTTGTCTTTCACAATTAGTTTTGTAATTAATGTTATATAATAATAGTAGTTTTCACCAATTTTTAGTGAAATATGGGCAATACTAAAAACAATATCTTCCCAAAAAACAACCCCAATTGTTTTTTCTTTAAACGTTTTGTATGGAATTAAATACACTGCATAACATGGCATAAAGTGGCTAGTGGCACTTTTTTTGATTTTTCAAAAATTACAAAAAAATACACTTGTATTATTTTTACGTATTTTATATATAATACGTATGTAAAACAAATGTTTCAATAAAAATATACATATAGGATCAGATTTTAAGGTATTTTACTATTATGTATCCGAAAATCGAAAAAAAATGAAGTCAATATGAACTATCTTAGAATTAATTTGTTATACACTGGAATAAAATTGAAATTACTTGCAATTGAGTCTCAGCCTTTAAAATTTAGCATTTACCTACCCTTCGCGAAGTGTTGTCTTGAGTGAAAACTAATTAAGTTACGTCTTTGTGTATTAATTCCCCCCATTTTTCAGGTAGGAATCCTTGCCTTGCAATGGAATGTACAGATTAAATAATATTCAATTTATTACTATATTATTGAAATGTATTTCTCTGATGTGAGTTCAGTGTTTTGCAGCCAATATTGCTATAATTTAAATTTTGTATTATTTACATTTTTAACATGTCAAACTTATAATTTTTTAAATTATGACACTTTTTTTCCTTTTTCATGTTTTTATTTATCGCCTTTCCATTCACCGGAAGCTACTGGTTCTTCAGTAGATCGTAATGACAGTCGCCTGGTAGTGTTGGTTTTGTCACAACATTTTTCAGGAAAATTATCTAAATGCCTTATCGTGTATTTCGCTTATTTCTGATATTTTCTGTCCACGAGGAAAGCTAAGACTAGAGTATTTGTACAATCGCGGATTTGAAAGAATAAGCACATCCGTAGCCAATTATGATTATAGTGAAATGCATCCATGGAAATTAAGTGCAGTCGTACAGAATATGTTTTTGAACTTTATCCATTATCTCCAGATTTTGATTCTAACTCCATTTTTATGCATTTTTTCTAATGCTAATAAAATATTATTGAAAGGAAACGTCCTAAGGCATGTTGCGATAGAGGATTCGTCTCGAAAATGCATCTCCGAGGTATTGTCTAACTTAAACGCACAAATGAAAATAATGTTAAATAGTTTTCAACAATCGTTTTTTGCTCACTGCTGCTTTTTTGAATATCGAAGTTCTTTTTACCATCTCATATACATTACACAGGGTAGAGAAAGATATGTAATGCTGAAATATCAATGTCGAGATTTTGTTGGAAATAAACATTTTGTGACTTTTTTTCAAAACTTCTGTTCGTCCATCCGTCTGTGAGAATTGTCTAATGATAATAATAATAATAATAATAATAATGTCTTTATTAATGGCGAGGAGACTCTTCCTCTGAGTTTACATTAATACAGAATATCAACATTTTAAACGCGGGAGGAAAAGCCGTGCATTTACCTCTTGGAGTGCAAAACTAGGGACCATCCCGGCATACGTCTTAAGTGATTAAGTAAAACCAGAAAACCTCCATCAAGATGGCGGGTTGGGGCAGAACATTATCAATATGTAGAGAGAAGTGAAAGAAAACGGAAAATGAGAGAAGGGAAATATAAATGAAAATGAAGAAAATCCAAAACAGAAAAAAGAAAAGAGAGAGGTTAAGAGGAGGAAAGAGCTGTACATTTATGACTTGGAAATCAAAACAAGGGGCCATCCCGGCGTACGCCTTAAGCGATTAAGTAAATCTAGAAAAACCAAAATGGGGGTGGCGGCTTATGGCCAAAAATTAATAGTGCAGAATATGACACACATAGTAGTGAAAGAGAAAAGAACAGAGGTTCAGAGAAGGGGTCGTAAAGATAAAATAAGGAAATTTGTGAGGGAGAGGGAAGGGAGAAGAAGCGAAGAAAAGGAGATCTAGTACCTACACAGACTTTCTTCCAAAATAAATATTTCTAGAAGCCTCTTGAATTTGAATCGGATATCTTGATATTTGATGGTACTTTATAATAGATTCGTATAAGAGTTATTTTCACACTTTCTTCTTTAGTTGTTTTTGTAGGAATAGAGTAAAGTGCGTCAATGAAAATGAAGCTGGTCCGATTTTCAACAAAACCGCTGAAATTTCGAAAATTGCAAAAGTTATTAAAATATTTTGATCCTACAACTACTCTATTAAAGATAAATATTTTGTTAATAAAACTTGTTATACGATATCAGAACTTTAAAAAATGTCTTGTATATATTTTTTAAAATTTTAGTACTTTTAGTGTACCTGAATATTTAAAACAATACTAAAACAACAGTTTCTCAAAATGATCCTAATTTCTTCTTCAAAGACTTTGCTTGGTTATAGTAAAGGTTGATTAATAATATAGCATATTTCCGATGTTCTTGAAAAAAAACTACGAAATTTAAAATATTGCAACAGTTATGTATTGCAACATGTTATGTATAACATTATTGTGACATTATATGTGTAACATTATTGTGAAAGAAAGATACTTTTTATTCATTCAATCTATTTCTCATTATTATATCTTTAAATCATTTCAAGTACTGTTTTATTTAAATTAATATTTTTTGCGAGCTTTTGAATTATATCATTTGATTTATTCAAGTGATTGTTAAGGTGTTTAGTACGATAGGAGCAATATTATATTAATACACAACCGTTTCCAATAATACAAGAAAATATCGTCATCACTGGTTTATTTAAATATTACTTTCATCTTAATTTTCTCTCAATCAGCTATATTTTTTTTTACTCTGAAAAGGTCTCTAAAGATGTTTAGTTAATTCATTTGCAATATCTGCCATAGATATTGTCGGGTTCAAGGGCAGCGATTCATTAAGGAATAACAAAATGGGTTATAGTTTCCGCTGGCGTCCGTGATGTTGCTCTTGCATCAACTTCACTCTGAGGAAGCGATAGCATGCGCACGTTCCTCACGCAGCGGAAGTTGATTCTCACCGCT